GCTGTCGTTACTCCCCACGGTGTCGTAACACGCAACGCAACACAGCTGTGACATGGGTAACAGGCAACAGCGGTACCCATTGGGCAGCAGGCGGGCACTGCGACTATATAAGAGAGCTACACTGCCTACGAAGGCAGTTGAGTTGGAATCTAGCCAGCAGCAAGTTACGGGTTGAATTGAATTGTAACGAGTGAATCGTGACAGAGTGAATTGATTTGTGTGTAGGGTTTGTAAATTGTGTAAACCCGTAACGTTGTTATAATTGTAGCTGAGATTTGTAGGTTGTCAAATAAACAAATTAAAAATCCGAACGGCATCTTCAGTAACAAAACACGTTACAATATATTGCTTCTCTGATTATGCTCTCGAGCTGAAATGCTCAAGTACAAGTGGCGACTTATTCCATTCGGCGTGATAACTCTAATCTGTGGGTGTATATGATGGCATGGAGGTTATGATCCAGTCATTCGATACCCTGAGTGTGATAGGAAGCTCGGGGTAGAACTGAAATAAGAGCCCCATTTCCATGAAGCCTGGTGAACAAGGGCACAAAGCAGTACGTCTTTTCATCTCCCACACCAACCCACTGAGACACACACTGATCACACAGTACAGGCAATGCTTTTAGCCTGGTCTCAAGGGCAAACTAATGCTGTACTGTGGGAGAGAGGGAGGGAGGAAGGGTGACGCACTGTAACCAAAGCCCTGTTATAAAACACACACACACCCTACAGTCCTTATCTCACCTACTGGGCTTGACCAGCACTACCAGACTTTCTGACTATACATCATTGTGTGGTCTGGTGAAAGTCAATCGATCAATGCTTCAGAAGAACATGTCGCCTCAACTTTCAGGACTGATTTTCACCAAACTACGTAGCATTATAACCCACATCATAGAACTCTTCATGTTTGTGTTCACAGTCAATAATTTGTTGCTATGGTAACCCAAAATAAGGGCAATTCTGCAGCTTTTGTAAGTCTCATAATAAAACTTATTTTTAACACCCAGGTGATGTTGGATACAAACAGAACTAACCTCACTTCACACAGGATACATTTCCCTTCCTGGCAGTTTCACAATAACTAAAACTTTAAAGGGATATGCCTCAAATTATAAAACTATAGTTTTCTTGCATGATTAAATATACTGATCAAAAATGGCTTTAACAGCTGTAGCTACTGACATGTGTATGGTGTACATTTCATATCTCTGGGTGTTCTCTATTAGGATTGCAGTAGCAAACAGGATACAAAGCAGTCAGAAACATAAAAGTTACATTTTCACATACACTACTCAGTTATATCTGCTACTTCCATTACCAATGACAAGATATGAAACAAAGGGCATAAGAGGTCAAAATCTGAGTTACTGAATTACAGACCTGCATAGTAAACAGGACATTGTAACTATTCAAAAGGACAACAAGCCTAAATAATTCTGAGATGTGAATGTATTCCTATAGTCCACTGCTCCCGAGCTCTACTGCAAGCCTTTTGTTTCTTTCCATCCTCTTACTTCAAGGAACACACTATGTTACATATACAAAATCTACTGTGTTTCATTAGTAGCACAAAATTCTTTATGATATTGTACATTTTACATGGACCATTTTGTTATATAGACATCCTAAAGAAGATGTAACCCGTATATATTGTACCTGTTACACTTGACAGACTGAAACAGCACAAATATGGAAATGAAGAGCAATGATAAACAGCTGGAGCCACTGTCCAATGTTCCAGCAGTGATATTCAAAACCCGACATTACATGTTTCATCATCTTATTGATGATATATATATATATATATATCTTCTATTGGTCCAATGGCAAATAATCATTATTTTTATATGAATTAAACATTTGCATCATTCAAAAATATTATTCCACAAGTCAGACACAATTAGATTATTATAGATGCACATTAACCTTACAAAATTTATTTACCAGCTGTTCACTTTCAGTCACATTATATGATATTCAGCAGAAATGAAAACAATACATATTAAACTAAAAGAGATTTTTGGCTTCCCAAATTTGTTCATTCTTTCTAGAATAATGTATTTTATTTGAATTTAAATAATTTAATTTATGTTATCAATGATAAAGTGCACAGAATGATCTAGATCTTCATCACCAGCTTAAAATCTGTTCTCCCTCAACTTACTTCGTTAGCTTCAGACTTTTATCTTGAATGGTTTATCACGATCTATAGAAAACTGGATTACAGGTTCAAAACTAAACTCCTGAATTCCAGTCATAAGAATATAAATTATTTTCACAAAACAACTTCAAATTGCTGGCAAGCAAACCTCCTTCAAACTAACACATGTCTTTACAGCTTTGTTTATGACATAAACTTCTCCCTGATGCTGCAAAACTTCTGCTTCAAATTTATGTGGCCAGTCACCGAAGAAGGCTTAATCACATTTAGCTGCCATGAAAGCCTAGTTATAAACTGACTGGCAGTTAACTTCAACACTCAGTCTATACAATGAAACATGAGCAAGCAACAATGCAAAAATCATGAGCTTCTACATGTGGCGGACATTCAGTTACACCCAACATAAGTTTACCACTGACGATATGGCATTCACAAGGCGCTGTCCAGCCAATCAGTGTCAGTTTGTTTAGCTTCAAAGTTTTGAATTCATCCAACTGAAGACTGCTGTATTCTGAGATGTGATACTGTGCAGCATGGGAGATCATTACCCATGTTCCTACAAAACACGGACACCTAAGTACCAAACAGATGTCCTAGAAGACAATGATCTTCACACAAAGCATCATGAAAATCTCAGATACAATAAATTCTGCATCAAACAATTTTACATTTTGTTCACATATACTGTGAGAGTGCTTGTCTGTCTATGGGTCTTTAGTGGTTACAACTCATTATGTCAGATTTTAACCTGCAACTATATTTTCTCACAACCTGAGTAATGTTTTAATAACTTTCACATATATCATATATATATACATACATATATCAAAAAGAGAGAGAGAGAGAGACTACACAGTATATTTGGCAATGAATATTACTTAACAAAATAAGCAGAAAGATGTGCAGTTTCAGAAGCATCTGACAACACTGCTCAGCAGTGAAGTTAAGAGTATAAAAGTATCCAAAGGTAATAATAGCCTTCAAACACAGCAACAGTGCAGCAGTGCACTGCACTTGGTATGCACAGCATTTGTGCAAGCAGTTCCTATTCAGAATTTCTCTCATGAACAGCAAACTTCAACATCTAACAAGCAGACTTGCCTAAAACATGAAGACATAACTAAACACTTCACACTGTGATATTCTGAGACATGACACCACAGTTTTGTAGACAGGTGACTTTGTTTCAGAAGAACCTGCTCCCCCATTTTCAGAAGAGCAGAGTTCCCCTGAAATTGTACTTATTTATAGAACTGCACAGATTGCATCCCAATATTTGCTGCCATGAAAACCTTAAATCTCATAATTAAATAGGATGCAATACCTGAAAACTGCAGAGCTTTGAACATACAGACAAATGTTAACTGTTATCATCAGTGGAAGAACGGGACAAATACAGCCCAAGAGTGATATTTCTGGAATGTATCGTTTAAATACAGATTTATAATTGCAAATTTCTACTGTCACACTTCAATGCCAAGATTTTACGCATGTTACAGTGTATGACATAAATTCCTATGGACAAATAAAAGAGAAATCATTTCTTAGAAATACAGAAATGGACAACCACCCTATCTTTCACAGCCAACAAGAAGAACAGTTAGTTACAAGTGTTAAATTACCTACTTATAAACACTTCCCTCCACCAAGTAGGTCTCAACACCATAAACATATTTATACTAACCTGGAAAAGACATGCAATTCTGCAACACAAATATTATATACATATATACTTTGCTTTCCCTGTCAATATCACAAATATAGCAGCTAAAACTTTAAAGGGGGAATAACACTCAAATAAAGAAAATAAAGTTTACTCATGTAATTAAAAATAAAGACTGGGAATGAGGATTTGAATCACAGCCACAGGCACCATAACACATGCATACGAACTTAACAGCTGTGGGTACAGTGCACACTGGCAGTATGGCAGAGAACATTTCATACCTTTGGGTGTTCTCTATTGGGTTCACAGCAGAAAACAATAAAGTTACATTTCTGTACATATGTAAGATTATCATGCAACTTTCATTCATCATAACTCAATATACAATTCAGTTAGTTTCTGTCCAGAGCGACAGTCACAAAAACTCAGGCTAACTCTAATGAATGGAAATAAATGTCAAGTGCACGGCTAGCGTATTACAGCCAGTAACTAAAATGCAGATTCCAGAGTATCATGAATGGCTGTACAACATACACATTTTGATGTGACAACTGAAAGCTGGAATAGTGAAGCCAGAGCCACATGTCCATTGATGAGAACCGGCTAAGTAAACACTAGATAGTAGTGAAAGAGTCATTACCAGGCAACAAGCTGCTAAACAAAAGATTCCATGACAACAGAGGACAATGAATTGTTCATCACGATGTCTTCTACGTGGGCCGCCCAGTAGTTATGAAAGAGCAGAGATCCAAAATTTGAGAGACCAGAGACCAGCATGAGACTCAGACAACAGTGAAAGGTTGCTCATTGAGATTTGTCGAAGACGTCGTTAAGGAGCTGAATGTGAACTCCTATAATCAACTGTAATTGTAAAGACGTGCCAATGAATCCAATCATCAAATCTAGACCTCACATTTATTTGTCACGCTAACCCCCATGTGACAATACGATGCAGGCATCAAGCATGTCTTCATGTCCAGTATTACACTAGTCAACTGTGGAAAGGTGCAACTTAAAGCAAAGAGGAATACAAGCACATCATCTCTGCCTGCAACAAACATAACAGCAGTAGTACTTAACAAGCGTGAGTAGCCGATTAAACATAAGCAAGAGTCAAGGAATGTGTGCACTGTGTCATCACCTGATCCACATCACGCATGCTACGCTCATAAAGTTCACTGGTACAAGAATTCTTTTTGGTAATGTTGTCAACTTTATGATGAATGACTGGTGATGTTTCTGTTTACAGTAATACCATTTACATTAATATTTCATCAATTTGATATAAAACAAATGAACCTGATAACAGATGAACCCAACCCACTTCATGACTACAACATGACATATCTGTTGCTATTCTGGATTCCAAATTAGACTCATTTCCTTTACACCCCCACATCAATTGGCATCCCTAATAAACAGGGAGACTTCAACTTCATTTCACAATTATGGTATCGCCTCCAAGCAGTCTCGTATGTGTGTCCAAGTTTGAAGACCCTGCAACAGTACATTTATACTTGTTATAACAGGTTGAAAACTGCTGCACTGATGAACACTGACCCTTTCCCAGTTTCTGCAGGAAAGCTTATCACATAATGTTCCTGTATAGGGCCACTGTCAGAAGCTTTCTGCTAACACAGTATCATCAATTTCAGGACAGATTCCACAAACACAGTTTATGTTGTTATAGTAATGAAAACATTCCTTGCATATGCCAGACACCAAACCCTGGGCATCCAGTTCACTGACCGAGATACATATCAGAGCTCTCAGGCAGAAGTACAGGAACACAGTATTTCGATATTTACTGATTACTAAACAGTTTCCAGGCTATGGATAAAACAAAACACCCCCAATTTCATATTGCTTACAAATATCAGAACAACGTGTAACTCCCACTAATAGAACTAACAAGATAAAAATACAAATGACATGTCTTACCTTCCGACACATTTTGATCTGGAGAATCACGTAGCCTGTCAGTGTTTCACGAAGATCCGAAATCTTCTGTTGTTGGAATCTTTCAATATCAATTAATGCTTGTTTTGAAAATTCGCTGCAAAGACAAATGATTTTAGCTGATCTCAAAATACTATACTAAACTGAACAAGTAGGTGCACATATGGTTCCTCCCGTACACCAAATATTATATCCAGTACCAAACTACTTTCTTACTGCACTAAAAACACAGTATTCATGTACAAAGCTTCACTCCCAGTAACTCTGCTGCCACGCGCCACAGCTCAAGCGGTTAGTCGCTGGCTTCCCACCATGGCGGCCTGAGTTCGATCCCAGGTCTAGTCAAGTGGAATTTGTGGTGGACAAAGTGGCACTGGGGCAGGTTTTCTCAGAGTACTTCGGTTTCCCCTGCTAATCTTTATTCCAACAATTGCTCCACAATCACCCTCACGTATAATCTGGGGCTTGTATAATAGGCCAGAAGTGGCCGCAGCACAAGGGACTTAGTCCCGCCCCACTAGCAATAAAAAAAATTGCTGCTGCCAGATGCCCTTGGTCAGCCACTTCAGTGAACAGAAATATGCAATATAAAGAAATAAACAGAAAACAAATACCCTACACTCACTCTCTTTGAGAGAGTAAAGTGCACTAAAACTAAATGTACCTAAGCTCCTCCTGAGCGCTGTGGATGCCGTCCTTGCCCTCCTGAATTCTCTGGTCAAGGAGATTCACCTTCAGTTCACGTACCTCCTCTGTATCCACACTCCCAAACAAACGTGACATCAATCCAGACTTTCCTGCACAAAGCAAAAATATCAAATATGCATGAACACACATACTCATCTTCCTCTCTGCCTCTAACTCCACTGCACAACAAAACAAACAACTTCCCTCTCCTTTAAAGAAAAACAAGCAAGACTACTAAATATAAGTATGCATAATTTCAATTTTGATTGCCCACCATTTTCAAGGGAAAGGAAATTAAAGATATATCAGTGAAATTCTCATATGTGTTTCTGTGATGACTGCCAAATTTTGAGCATTAAACTGAGGAAAATCCTTAATTGGACAAGACTGAGCACCAAGATTAAACTTCAAATCATTGAAATGAACATTAATTGAAGGAAAATCTTATACTGAGGAACATTAAATAGGGTTCTAGTGCACAGGCTGCCCCAAGAAATGTTTGTGAAGGTTCAGCAGGTTATCAACTAGGTTATTTTAACTGAAAAAATGTTATATCAACATTTATCTGACTTTCAGCCATTACATAGGTATTGCCGAAGACTGAGGAAACGCAAACAAAATCACTGATTTAGTAAAACAATTGGCAATCTTCTGATGACAGTCAGTGACATATGGAGTTATAACAACCAACTGGAGCAAGTTCGCTAAGCTGAAATTCAGTGAGATGTTATACATGCCTGTAGTTCTCTGAGAAATCAGATATTTAGTTTTCTAAGGAAAATGGTGAGTGATACAACATATTTGTAATCTACACACTGCAGGCAGTGCTGCGCAGTCTTATCCTCTGCCCACCTAACAAGCACAAAGGGACTCAAGCGTAGATTTCCACAATGAATATACCAGCTAGCAGATGAATGTGGGTGCAGCTTGGTCTTGCCTATATTCACACAAGCCTTTGTCAACTGTTTTTATGATAGTGCCAACATAATGATGAACTAGCTGTACTCGCCTTTCTGAACATTGTCCTTTTCAATGGTACGTGTAAGAACCTGGGCCTCTGCTTTTTCTAGCTGCAGTTGCAACATTTCCTGGCGTCGGCACACTGCTTGAAGGGCTCCCGCAAAGAACAGATATTCCTTCAGCTGGTCAGCATACAATTCTTCTTCTTCTAGGGGCATGTCAATGCCAGCAGCTAGCGAGTCCAGGTAATGGCCTGCTCTCTGTAAGTACGAACAACAAGCATTCCATTGCACGTGTCATTATGCCACTCCACTATTTGATGAGTACCAACATTCTGGGATGACTGACATGTTCTTCTTAGTTTGGAGCTTTGATGGAAGTTTTGAATTTTTATAGACACTGAACTGTTCAGGTATCTTAAATAAGTAATTGCATTTGGGACTTTGTCCATCAATTAGTACTCTCAAGGAATTCTAAACATGTGCCTCCTGACCTTCTCCTTCCACCTCAGGACAGACACAGATCCAGTTTCCAAAACACTGTTCTTTTTCAGAGTACCAGACAGAAGACAAACTCGGCCACACCATAGCTCAAGCAGTTAGTTGCTAGCTTCCCACCATGACGGCCTGGGTTTGATCCTGGGTCTGGTCAAGTGGAATTTGTGGTGGACAAAGTGGCACTGGGGCAGGTTTTCTCAGAGTACTTCAGTTTCCCCTGCCAATCTTCATTCCACCAATTGCTCCACAATCAGCCTCACCTATCATCTGGGGCTGGTAGAATAGACCAGAAGTGGCCGCAGTACAAGGGACTTAGTCCAACCCCACTAACATAAAAAAAAAAGACAAACTCCAGAAACTTGGTAATTCTAAGTGTTATACACCATCATCAGGATACTGTTAAATAGGTAATTGTACTGTTTGAATGTCCTTGGAAGTTCAGTTTCTACGTTTGAAGTAGAGCAGGCAAGACAAGCATTGCTAGTAGTACACTAACATGGCTGGTAGGAGAAACATGAAATTGCATGACAAAGAAATAAGCAACAAATTTAAAACAGTGAAGAAACATATAACAGAAACTGACAATGAAATACCTGTAATCCGTCTCCCATTTCCTTTTCCTTTGCACTCCATTCACTGAAGACACGGCCATAATTGGCGTGAAGTTTGTGTATCCCATATAGTCGCTCCACTAACCTAGCACGCACACGCAACAGGTTCCCCAAGTTATTCTGCACAAAACAACATTCACTGGAAGTACTCAAAATGTCCTCATGAGCTTTCAGAAACAGAATGTTTCACATCTACAAAGCTTTTCTTGAAATACTCACAGTAACTCAGTTGGTCAAGAAATTCTCTGTATTTTATAGAAGTCGAAGGATTATTATCAGGTTCACACAAGACAGGAACCCCATCCTAGGTGACATGAATCCAGTGCAAATCCCTAGCTCAGTCAGTAAACTGACCAGGGTGTGCAGTACTTGATTCCCAATAGGTGGTGTCTCAGAATGCTGACAAGTCCTGGGATCCACCGAGTCTCCTATCCTCTGCATACTAGGGGCTTTGTCCCCAGAGGTAAAGCAGCTAAGATGCAAAGCTGACCACTCACCTCCATCCAGTATCAAAGTTAGGAATGCGTGGAGCTATACCTCCACTCCCTCATGTCTTCATAGCATCATATTTAATTGACAACAATAACAAATCTACCTCCCATCTATTCCTAGGTTTCCTAAGCAGTTTATTCCTTTCAAGTTTTCTGACAAACTTTGTAGGCACTTCCAATCTCCCCAATCCTGCTACATGCTCTACCCATCTCACCCTCCTTGACTTGATATTAGATGAGGGACATGGACCATGAAACTTCTCGTTATGTAACTATATTCACCACTTGCTCTTGTTCAGGTCAGAGCAGAACTTGGAACTGTCACAACTGAACTGGATCCAGTGATCACTGGCCTCATTCCAACAAACCCACCAGACTTGGCCACCACTTTCACCACCTTCCAAAATGCTGTGTTTTAGTATAAATCTAGACAACTGATAATATCTGAGGTATAACAAGGCACCATGATGCTTCTTTGTAAAAAACTTCAAACAGAAGTGGGACTAATGCTAAACCTTGGGCTGCACCATAGCTCAAGCAGTTAGAGCTGGCTTCCCACCACGGTGTCCCGGATTCGATCCCGGGTCTGCTCAAGTGGGATTGGTGGTGGACAAAGTGGCGCTGGGGCAGGTTTTCTCCGAGTACTTTGGTTTCCCCTGCCAATCTTCATTCAACCAACTGCTCCACAATCACCCTCACCTATCATCTGGGGCTGGTACAATAGGCCAGAAGTGGCCGCAGTACAAGGGACTTAGTCCCACCCCACTAGCAATAAAAAAAAATGCTAAACCTTCTTAATCTGATCCATGTGACACGACTCGTCTTCTCATCATGTGTACCTGTAACTCATTTCCATAGTTCTTGATGGCTTCAAACCTCTTGTCAGGCTGCTTCAGCCTTACAGACACACTCAGGGCTTTCAGTTTGGATTCAGCCAGCTGCAGATAGCCTACAGTGGCACATGAAGCAGGATATTATACAAAATGAAACATTACAAAACATGATCTACGTATATGTATTATGTATAGCACTTCTCAACATTCAAGAATTTTCATAGTTTTACCTGTGTCTTTAATGCTCTCCCCCCAGCCCTCCTCTTGCTGCAAGAACCCAATGAACTGTTGATCAAATGAGAGAATGGGATGTGATGCAACACGAAGCAGAAAATTCTGAAAGTGCAAAGTTAACTGCCATTATCTAGCTTGTTGCCTATTCATAGTATCTCCAAAACCACATCACAAGTTTACAAAAGTATAGTTCACTGCAAAAACCTGAATATGGCCCTATGTGCGATTTTGAGATATGAAATTATGCATATCCATTAAGCCTGAAGACGCACAATTAAGATGTCTTTCAAATCGCTGCCACAGACAATTCCCACAGTCCTTTGCATATTCCCATCTTGTCATCCAGCTATTCTGTACACATGAATGTTGGTACTGATAACCTTCATCAGTGGCAACAGCTTTCAGCTAGACAGACAAGAGGGGGCTGGCAAATAATGCGCCAGCAGACAGGGCATGGGAGCCTTGAGGACTGCTGTCCCTGCAGCTTCACACAGGTACCTCTACGAACCGTAAAATGATCTCAGGCTTTGGGAGCCAACAACTTTCACTAATTTCATCTTTCTCAGGCTTTGGGAGCCAACAACTTTCACTAATTTCATCTTTCTGTCTTCTCACCTCAAGTCCTGCTCGACGTCTGTCAACAAAATCAGGGTCAAATGTATCAGAGGCAATCTTCTGCCAAGCATATATCACTTTCTTCTCTGGTAATGGAGGCACCACAATATACGGATACGTGACCTCAAGATATGTCCGGAGGAGTTCAAACTCACTGTAACGGCGCCACAATGAACTCAATTTATTCAAAGTGCCATTCCAGTCCAGATCTGTCACTCTGTGAATAATCAGATAAATGAAACAACTTAATGAATTATTGCATGATTATGAAATAAAATGAACATCAACCTCTCACAACACAGTGATCAAAATAAGTAAAAATATATTCATACAAATATGTACCCTGACGGCTCCCTTTACAGGTCCAAAGAGATGGCAAACAAAATATGCAAGGTCTGGATTGTATGCTAAGGGTTCAAGAATTTCAAATTCCATCCCCTGAACGGTTCCCCTAATAAGGGCAAAAGTGTCAAGTACTGTACTGTCATGCAAAATGACCACATACTCTAGCAATCTTCCTTGTCATTCTGTGTGAATGGCTGGCCTCGGTTCATGCTATCACATGTCAGAATACCTTGCACTTGTTGCCATGGGTCCACATTCTGGGTAATTATGAAGCACAGGACCCTGAGAGTCCCAGAACATGGTCAGCATTCACCTTCCAGCTGATGGCCAACTCTCTTCAATATTTTGGTAGCAGAAGGTGACAGGGGCTTCCACCACACACTCTGACATTTGTTTACTTTGTGGTTTATAACCATGTATCCATGTCTCATTGCCAGTGATGATGCAGTTAACCAGTGAAGTGGTTATGATGTCTACAGACGTCATACAGTACTGTATATCCTAGTGGCCATGACATGCATAGACGTCAACACATGTTTCTAACTACTCTGTTGTAGATACACCAGTCAACAATGGAAACCTGTACGCTGTGTCTCCAAGATGTTCTAGCTACTTCAGAGTATGATGAGAGGTCGCTGATTGCTTGATAGCTGTCCTGGGTTCGAGTTCATTCGACTAAACATTATGGCAGGTCCTAGGAAGATGATGTGTGCAAGTGATGAAGTGTTTTATGAACTGTTACAAGAGAACGAATACAGTGATATTTCAGAGAGTGAATACAGCAGTGATAGTGAAATAAATGTGAAAACTTTGTCAGGTGGTGAACAAAGTGTCACCTATGATCAAGCAGAAAATGTCAGCAACAATCATAGCATGCAACCCGATGTATGGGCAGATTCAGGTGCTGCGTGACCATGAATTCCATTTACTGGCAAGCCTGCCATAAATTTTGATTTAGAAGACCCCTGGGAGTTGTTTTGTACACCATATATTGCGGAAGTAATAACCAGAGAAACAAGTCGGTTTTTAGAAAACACGCCTAATCTAAATCTAAAATCCAGGACCCATCGCTGGGCTGATATTGAAAACTACATAATTATGAAGTATTCCCAGTATCTGCCACTTGAGTTGCAGCCATGTTTCCAGTGGTATAAACGTTTTAGTGAAGATTTCACAGCCTGTAAAAGATAAGGGTTTTGCAGTGATGTTTGGAAGAACAGTTCAGTTCAGTCATCCATACTAGCCTTGAGCTTGCAAAGGAAGTACAGTTTTTAAGAAACTGTGTTTATCATTGAGGTATTCACAGTGTCACTAGACAGATTCGTTAGCCGACTATTAAGATAGTGTTTCATTTCTAAACACTACGCATCAGTCAAGAACTCATATACTGAATATGCATGACTCAGGCACACGTGTGAGATCACGTAGTCTGAACAGAAATAAAAGTCAGTGGCGACGTTGGCTGATTTTTTTAGAATAAAGCCAAAAGTACGGAATTTTACTAAAAAATATACATAAACTTTAATATAATGGCTATAGAAATGGAAGTGTAGGTACATGAAATTTGATAATTGGTCTTTCAGAGAGTTTTTGTTCCTTAATTCTGTAACGACACACGATTGAGATATTGCATTTTAATAGAGGAGCAAAAATTATAAAATTAAACACCACAGTAACAAATTTAAATGTCTGGGGGAATTTAACATGCCACTGTGGGAGAGACAAGAACACAGAAAAGAACCACTCGACTGTTGCAACCTTCACTGCAGTGCCGCTCCAACAGACGAAGCTGACGCTCATACTACTATGCCTGTGCTCTTCTGTCAATTCCCATGGAGGATACCATGTACATTCTTAGCGGAATCCATGAATGTCATGTGCTATGCACATGTCTGTCCACTCATACATACTCTGTCGAGGTAATGAATTCTCCCCAAACTGAGCACATCAATGTATGTGGATTTCAACCCCTTCATAACCTTCTGCCCACAAAAAACGAAAAATGGCCCTCTGTTCTTGTTTGGTGCATACTGAGAATGGTGCAGCCATGTTTGATGCTTCACCGCAGCTTACTCACTATGTCCAGTCATGCTGGGCAGTGTGTTGGCACACCATCTCACAGAAGTCAGTGTTACTAGCAATGAAGGTGCACACCCTTCCTGAATCATCCTTGTCAGTGGAGAACTTGAGTTATTACCCATGTCAGTTTATAAAACATTCTAATTATTTTAGCAAATTTTAATACAAAGTGACTTGCAGCTCTATCCAGTGTGATTGATTTATAAAAGTTGTATTTCTGTATTTCACATCCTTAACATGTTTTGATTTTATTGACCATCTTCAGAAGAACATGATCAACATTTAGGAAATCACTATTACAATGTCACTGATATATAAAGGTAATTCCTTGTAACTACATTAAGCACATGAAGTGGTTGGATCATTTATATGTTCTTATAATTAATTTATTTACACAGTCAAGTATTTAAAGGTAAAGTTATAAATACTTTTTGTTAAAACTAGAACAACTGGTTTGTGTCTCGAGATTTCTATTGCTAATGTAACAGACTAGGATAAGCCAAGTCAAGTTTAACCAATTTTAACTTTCAATGTAATTTTAAATGGTGCTCCCCTCAACTGAAAACTGGCCAGCGAAGTAGTTTATACATCAGATATAACTGAGAATGATCTTGCTTTCCTAAGGCCAAAACATCTACAAATAGTGAGCAATTATAATACTCCTGAGCCCATATGAGTGCAGTAAAGAAAACAGCAGTAATGATGGATTCCTTACAGTACATCACAGAAACTGTGACATAGTGTTACCCTACTGGTATAGGTACATCAAGTGCCGAATGATGCAAGTGATGAAAGTCGGTACAGAGCTGTAAAATCGTCAATCATTTACTCCTTGGGGCCGACACAGTTATGTTTTCCAAATCTAACAAATAATGTTTTCTATAACCTCTATAAAACAGAACATGAAGTATCTTGAGTTACAGGGATATGTCCTTTATATCTGTAGCAATAATCTGACTTCACACAATTGTCACAGAAAATGGAATGAGGTTTAATTTTATGGCCAAAGCCAATCAGAAATAAGGATATGTCACTAACTTTGTTTCTATTAAATAGACGGTATAGAAATCCCTTATATTGAGGGCTCCAGTTTCTCTTTTCTCTGCTTCTGTCACACATATCTCCATATGATCAAGAATGCATTCCTGCAACATAAAAGCATAATCATATTGCAATTGCTGTTCACAATAAAACATATATACCTCTACAAGCCTCAGCCACTGTGAAGTGCAAGACAATACACTAAGTGCCCTGGCAGTGGACTGGGGGCATGCGGTAGTGTAGTTGGTTGAGACACTATGCTACAAGCCGGAAGGTCACGGGATTGAATCCCGATGAGGTCACTGGATTTTTTCTATTTACCTAATCCTTCCAGCCACACTATGGACCTGGGGTACTCAGCCTCTAACAGAAATGAGTACCAGGAATATTCTTGGAATGTTCTTGGGGGTAAAGGGCAGCCGGCGCGTAGGGCTGACAACCTGACTGCCATCTATGAGCCAATTGTCTAGAAAATGTGGGAACTTCAACATCTCACAAACCTACGGGCCTCCACAGCCTGTTACAGGGATACCTTTACTTTTTTACTTTACCCTGACAGTGGATTATATGATCAGTGATAGTGATCTGTACTGCACTGCACAGAGACTGACAACAAGGTCTCAAATGTTCGCCAAGATTACTGATTTTTCCTGAACAAAACTCCATCTCACTTGGATACACCCATATAGCAAGCCAGTTCACCTTGCTGTTTCTTGGGGGGCATACTTCTCAACTCTGATGATGGAGATGATATCCTCCTGTCAGGCTCTCTCTGATCTACGTAATGTTATAACCACGAAGACAGCATTCCTTGATTATTTATAGGTTTGTGACAATGGTCAATTCAATTCATGTATAACATTATATTGCTCATCATATATTGTCTAATGGTTAGCATAATCATCTAGTATTTAATATGTCTTGAATCTGATCCCAACTGCTACTATTAACATCAAAATAAAAATGTAATAAGAAGAATCTGTCAGTATGAAAACCAGTCCCCTAGGGACAGAGTACAGCCAATTCCCAAAACATAATGGATACAAAATACCTCAGAAATTAGACAGTAGTCAAGATAATATTCAGAGAACAGTATATTCAAAGCTGATTCTAAATTTCGTAAGGATCAACAAAGTGTAAGGCTGTGTGGTACAGTTATTTCTCTCATCAAAGTTCTATTTCCCTCTTCACTACAATTCCATAATGACTGTATGTTCACACAGCTTTCTGTTATGGAGATTATTATTTGAATCCATCTAGTAACAAGGATATGGAAATGTTGGGATTTACTTCAGCTTTCACTATATGGCATGATTATCTTAATGCAATTTAGACCTACTGTGAAGCTGTGTGGTGCAACTCATATTCTTACACTGGCACAACTGAACAGCAACATTTCTTAGCAAGGACTTAAAAATTATGAACACTTTCAGAATATAATGACAAATACACTTATGACATTCTTGTTCTGAAATGTAGTGAGAGTACGGTAGAGAGTGACTAATTGGTCTTTCATTGTACCATACCAAAACTATACTGTTTCAAAATTTCGGTGCAAGAACATCATAAGAGCACTTATCACCGTATTTTGAGTCAGTCAATATTATCGAACAGAACGAATTCTACGATACATCTATGTACGAACGAAGAGATCATTCAAACTGTGCTTCTTAACATATTAATTAAGCAGGTCACAGTAAAAAAAATTAGCAGAGAACATCCTAAACTAAAACAAAAATCTGATCACAATCTATTCACTTCGTCACCAAATGTAATTCCGGCGTTAAATACGATGTCCCAAAGAAGGTAAAACTTGACTATGGAGAAACTTGATTTAATGACATACGCCAACATTTACTGCGAACGATGAATTAAAATTCGAGGCACATATTTATATTTAACCATTAAACACTGTGTACTGTGTACAAAATATTGTACGAACCTCCTTTTTAAGCGCTTGCATTTTTGTATTTGCATTTTCCTTCTCTTCGAAACTTTCCGCTCGAGTATTATCCTCCATCATTAAACTGATCACAACTACCGCTGACATCTACTGGAAAGTTTACTACATAGCAGGCGTATATCGTCACAGATGTCACAGATGTTATAGATCACTTACTTACTTACTTACTTACTTACTTACTTACTCACGGAGCTGAGCCCTTCTGGAGGAGCCGCCAATTCTGCAGCTACTCAAGAATTTCCCAGCAATTTATGGAACCCGAAGGTTCATTACCGTGTTCACAAGAGCCCTCCACTGGTCCCTATCCCTATCCCTATCTATCCAATCCATACCATTCCATCCTACCTCTCTAAGATCCATTCTAATATTGTACACCCACCTACGCCTTCGTGTTCCCTGTGGTCTCTGTCCTTCTGGCTTTCCCACCAATATCCTATACACATTCCTCGTCGCCCCCATTCGTGCTACATGACCTGCCCACCTCATCCTCCTTGACTTGATCATTCTAATTATACTTGGAGAAGAGTACAAGTTATGAAGCTCATTATGCAGTTTTCTCCAACCTTCTGTCACTTCATCTCTCTTCGGTCCAAATATTCTCCTCAACACCCTGTTCTCAAACACCCTCAGTCTATGTTCGTCCCTTAATGTCAGAGACCAAGTTTCACACCCATACAGAACCATAGGCAAAATTATAGTTTTGTACATTCTAATTCTTATGTTTTTGGACAACAGACGAGAAGACAAAAGGTTCTGGACTGAATGATAGCAAGCATTACCCGAGTTTAATCGTCTCTTAATTTCCTCCTGAAGCAGGTTTCGATGTGTTATCGTTGTTCCCAAATATCTGAACTGTGCCACATTTTCAACACATCTGTTTCCTATCTTTATGTCATGATGTTGCCCTGCATTTTGGTGACGAGACAGTAACATTTACTTAGTTTTCTCTGTGTTTACTTCTAGACCAACCTCTTTACTTGCGTCAATTAAAGTTTGTGTGTTTGTCTTTATGGTACCTACAGTATTGTTATAGATCACTGTTGGAAGTAATCACAGAGTAGGTATCAATGACCCATGATTACACAATCGGTATAGTGACTGGCTACGGGCTGGATGACCGAGAGGTTGGAGTTCGAGTCCTGGTAGGATCAAGAACGCGGCTATGGGGTCCACACGACCTCCTATACTTTGGGTACCAAGAGCTCTTTCCTGGGGTAAAGCTGACCACTCACTGCAACTAGTGCCAAGGCCAAGAAAAAGGTGGATCTATGCACCCACTCCCCCATATGCCTTCATGGCGTAGTGCTTAATTAGTTAAGCACAAGGACAACTTTACCTTTACCGTTGCAAGAGATAGATACTTGTGGCCACAAACGCTAGGCTTGTGACACTAACACATTTCTTATTACGAGGATCTCTTTTTCTTTTTCTGCAAGCCTTATGAAAACTGCAGCCAATCTTATCGCCTGACAGGTTGAAATTTACTGATTACAAGAACTATGTGACAGGCTGTTGCACTGAGTATGTAAATGTCATTTTCTCCTGCAGATGTCACTCAGACATGAAAAAAACTTCAAAGTGTATGGTGTCAAAGCCTGAAAGAGCGAAACATATACTGACTGTTCACTGTTCTTCAGTTGTCTTCTTCCATTTCCATTTGTAATTTCAAAATCTAGTATCCTTAGAAAAATGCACGGCAATGAATGTGTTATTAGAACGAGTCTAGAGGGATGATACGCATCAGATGACCCTGTATTGATGTCCACTATAATCTTGTTGGGGAGCATCATTTAGCTCCTTAATCATGATGCAACTCTTATGATCCTCCAGAATTCTTTTTTTCTTCCCTCTACCACAAAACGAACAGATGATCTACATTTGTGGAAGACACTGCCATAAATAGTTTCCAGTCTCCTTTATTGTGCAGTACACAGCATGAAAATATGTTGAATATAATAAAGTTTGTGAGCTGTTAAATAATGAATAGTCTCTTGACAGCAACAGTAATGAAACTTCAGTTCGAAGCAAAGTAGGTTGCTAAATGTAATCAGAAAATTCTTCACCTTCATGTGAACTATAAGAGTCTAGGGCTGTAGCTTTGTCAGGAGAATTACTATTCAGGCCTACACACCTGAGATTCTTTTGTTAGTGGCTATGATGACTATTGCCATCTGGAATATAATGCTCGATGGTCAGTAGATATTTACCAAAGTTTCCAACCATTCCATATTCAGGATAGAAATATATATCATGCAGGAAAATACAGTCTGTGATATGGGGAAGAGGACAAAGACCGGGGCTAAGAGCAAAATGGACTATGAGTGTACACAGGGTCACATCCCACAAGGCAGTATTCAACTGACACACATTTACAAAAAGCAATTCAATCGGTACAGTAACACACCACCAATGGCCGCGCTATAGCTCAAGCGGTTAGTCACTGGCTTCCCACTGCGGCGGCCTGGGTTAGATCCCGGGTATGGTCAAGTGGGATTTGTGGTGGACAAAGTGGCGCTGAGGCGGGTTTTCTCCGAGCACTTCGGTTTCCCCTGCCAATCTTCATTCCACCAAATTCTCCATCATCATAATCACCCGGGGCAGGTACAATAGGCCAATCAGTGGCTGCCATGCCAAGTGGACCCAGCTAGATTCCACCCCCCACTAAGCAAAACACACCACCAGGAAAGGTCATCACTGCAAAGGACTGCGGCACAAACTGCTGCAAGCAGGATGAAGGAGTATGATTTAGAATTTGCTAAAACTGGATCCAAGTGTTATTCTCCGTTGTATTTCCTAGAGAGACATCTCTAAAAGAAACTGCCGCTCCAAGTGACAAAGTTCAGCATCCAGGAAGTTTCCCCCCTGCAAACAGTCAATAAGGAGAACACACCCCCAAGTTGTTTCTGTTACTGCACACAAACTGAGGAACCTCTGTATTAGAAATGTGTGTCAAGTCCAGGGATGTTGCATGCACCAATTAGTTTTGCCATGTCCATCTTTCCATCTTAAAAGTGCGTAATCAACCAGACCAATCTTGTCCAAACTTAGAATGATAGATCTACATTAAATTTTGTCCAGCCATTTGGTTTTCATTTTCATTTTGATTTGGTTTGGCCCATTTTTAAGGGCCTTTTTAAACATCAGCATAAATAACCTTACGTCCTAACTCATTTTGATGAAACTTGATACATGACACTTCCATTGAAGCAGTAGCACCACATGCAAGTTTCAGTCCTTCAATCACATTTCCTTGATCGAATAACTGAAATTTAAATTAGAAATTTAAAAAACTGCCTGTTTACAGTCACAAAATTTGATACATAATAGCTAACATCACAGCATATTTCTACAATAATGAAGTTTCAACTAAAAAATCTACAGTTTTATAGTGTGGCAGTTTGAAGCTTTTTATTGTACATGAAAATGCATGTATAGTAGCTACAAAGCCTAGCTGCAGGAGAACAGCCATAGATGTGGCCTTATTACATTATGTTAAAAGCAACTTCAGCTGTTACAGCTGTTATAGCTGTGGCTCTGCTATTCTATATGCGCTGTGTAAGAGCATCATATTCCTTGATGACTGCAGTTTTCTTCTTCTTCTTTGGAGGATTCTTCTATCAACGGATCTGTATGACAGTTCGACCATTGAGAGGCTGTACTGGTCTCCAGTTGTGTTTGATTGTCTGTCCATCCTCACTCATGAGGTTCCTGAATTCTTCAACCTGTGGTCACAGCACAGTGTTAAAGACCTTAAAAATATATTTCTTTCCCAGGTTCATAATTTCCTACTTTAAAATTTCTAACCCTTTGAAGCATAAAGCATAGTTAAATAATATTTAAAGAATCAGTTCCTTCATTCCAGAAAATGCACTTTATCCCCTCTGAAACACAAACCAGTTAGCACTGTTTCAAGAAATAAGCACTGTTTAGTGTGAGAATCATGGAAATTATAACTACACTCTCTGTGCAAAATGCCAAATTTCTTAATGTTAAAGCAGCTGTTATATGTGCATAGGAATCACATGCTTCAATGGGTTAACCGCTGAAATAATTAGATGATCAAATGTTACTGCCTTCAGCCCCTCTACTGATACTATACACTGCATTAGAGACTGGCAGCCATTTTCGTCTTTGTTTCTACTGCATACAGTGCTTTGAACGTGACAGTATGTGATTCAAGCATCAACATACTCTGCAATGAAGCTAACCAATATTATTGATTTACAGCAAATGAGTTCTTCCATGATTTATTTAATCCGTCTTGCAGTGCATACACTCATTTATCTCCTTCTCTCCCTCGCACTTAAATCAGTGCAACAGGACGCTAAAATATAACATTAGTAAATGAGTTCTTTTTGCCTTCCTGTAAATTTGTGATATTATCACTCTGACAACTTATGGTAATGATGAGTGCACTGAATTAATTCAGGACAAAATCTATAGCATGCTAATGGTTCTCAGAAAGCTATGCTTCAATTCCTTGCAATGCAATTCTGTGACACAAACCTGCTGCCTGGAGATAGTAAGGGGTTCTTTCCGGATGACCCAGGACACAGTTTCTGCACAAGGTGGCGTGGTGAGTGAGCCATTATATGTCAGGTAGAGGTTAGAGAACTCGGGCACCAGCCTGGACAGTGGGAATGGCTCCAAGAGCACCACAGTGCTGTTGGCCATCCGAATAGTCTGCAGCAGCTGCACTATCTGCTGAAGACCCACGTTGTGATGTTCTGCTTCAGAGATCTAAAGAACATCACACCTCCCTTTCAATTTCTGTGTGTTTATACTACAAGTTATTTGCCATACCACAACCATATATCTATTTATCCCACTCACTTGTACTTCTCTCTGTCATGCTGCATCCTATTAACTTTACCCACCTTTTGTGCATGTGTTTACATCATGTTTCACTCTACAACAGCTGAGCTACAAGTCGCATGGATAACTGAAAGATTTTCCCTCTTTGACTATTGTTGTTCCACCCCATCACTGTCTGCTGTCAACCAGCCTAAGTCACATGTTGCTGGCAAGGGTTACCACTGCCAACATTCATGTGGACAGAATGGATAGACTGAAGGACAGCATCAATATGTATACTGGGGAGAGTAAACAGCTCAAGAGAGGTGTTGAGAAGGTTCATCAATGGGTCTTCTTTCTATAGCCTCAGTATAATTCTTTCACCCACCTTTCATGTAACTGCTACCCATGTGAGGAAACCTAACGGAGGAGCTGCAAATGATAACATGAGAAAATACAACCCCTGCAAATATAAAAGCACTAAATTTGGATGCTTCTGGATAATTATGGGAGGTCAGTGCTGCATCAGAGAGGAGGGCAGGAGGACGGTCAGTATCACTAAGCATGTAGTGTTTTGTGAGGAACAAGTTTTACAATTAGCTCTAAAGAGAATACATTTATAAGTATCTCAGCCTGCATCCATACCCGGAAGAACACACCGATGACACGAATTCCAGAGTCATAAAGACCAGCGTTTTCTACAGACCCAAGATCCCTTCGATAGTGAACAACATGCATTTCTAGGGCAAACCTGAAAAATTAAAATACTAATGTTAATGATGAAGTGAGTATTTAATTACTCATGTTGATGTTGCAAATAAGAAGTGAGGTAAATTTATTAAATCATTCCAATAATATAAGCAATAATAGCTATATGTCATTAATGATGGAATAATATATGTGGTGCTAAACACTGAAAGCTTAAGCCACAGTGAGCTGTCAACCATAACAAAGTAACTGCAAAATTCTGAACGCCACTCAAAGAATCCTAAGGGGCAAGATCCTAAACAGTATCCAAGTACTTTTCTTTAAGTGTGCTATATGAGTTTCCTGACTGTCTTTCGCTCTGCTCCAAGAAATACAGTTTTCCATGAACTGCAGTAGTGAGAGACTTCCAGGCTGGTGACCATATGACACCACTATTTTATCACTATTTGCCTATTATCACAGAAGAAGCATAGCCTCCTAGTGATGACCACAACAATTTGTTCAATTCCATTTAATTTAGTTCTGAACGCAGATAACCATTACATAGACATGTATCTCAGTGCTACTGGCTGACATTAGCATGTCACTTATTGTTCTGCCATGTTTCCTTGAGGTAGTGATACTACAACAATGGTAGGGTTATAGTAACAGCTGTGCTCGGTCAATAAAAGGGTTAACTACTATGAGGTTTCCAAAATGGAACTGCCTGATCTCCACTGAGGTGACTCACCTCTCATTGTTCAGCATGTGTTCACTGCCCGAATGGTCGTCCTGTCCCCAGTGGAAGTGCAGCTGTTCAAAGACATATTCTTCTGAACTGGGGGCAGACCAGTGGTATGGTGTGTCTTCTTTGCGTGCCCACTTGGCTCTCAGGAGAACTGAAAATTGGATTGGATTAGGATGAGAGGGTGAAGTCAGTATAATGCCTGCAGCCCAGCACCTCACCATCAATGTGTATTTGGGCAGTAGAGGTACAGCTATGCCTTTCCCTAACTTCATCATTGCATGGAGGCATATTTGGAACAAACATTTTATGTCCAAACATATTTCTGTAAGTGTTACAATTTTTAATTAAATAAAGTAATCAAGTGCACCAGAACTGTTTCATATGTGTCCGAAATGTTTCCTAACATGTTTAAAGTAAGCATCACCATATCTCATTAATTTCTACACAGTCACTGTGCTTGATATGACTACATTATGTAACTTACTCATGTCTTCGGTGCAGAAAATTGACGGGTAATCTCTCACCTGTGTGACCGTTATTGGAGATGGTCATCGCTTGAGGTTTCAAGGAGTAGTTCCACCACATGATGCGGGGATGGTGATATGTCACTGTGATTGTTGTGTCCAGCTTCACGGGGCTCTGACTGTGTCCTCCACATAAGTGAAACATCTTAGCCCACACAGCAGGGCCTGCAATAACCTCTTGTTTAACCCTCTTACAGCAGCAATATGTCTTCTGATGGGTAGAAATTGAATTCATAAATATGGTTTAGATAAATTTCAGAATTCAACAAGATAATGCCCTCTCAGAATTACTCAGCTTTTGGACTTTTTCCATTCTTCAGTATTCTAAAAACTAGAGGACACAGCAGATTGGAAACTAGATCTGTTTTCATCCTCAGGTGAGTGGGGAGATACCTACTCCATTGGCTTCCTTAGAAACAGTTAACCTGAATCACTGAACATTGATTTTAGAATACAGGACGCTGGACAAAGAAAAAAAAAAACAATATACCGAATGTTACACACCACAGTCAGAATCCTTTAGAATAATTGCCCGCATCTCCTGATGCACAAACCATAGCATTTTGTAGTACAACTTGGGGAATCCCAGTATTAGAATCTGAGACATTCAACCACACATACAGAAATGATAACAAAAATTGGGTCTCAGAATATCGTTTTCAGTGACTTAAAAGACATAGGTGTAGATGGGAGAATAATATTAAAATGAATCACGGAGAAATAGGCTCTAAAACTGTGACCTAGATTAAGCTGCCTGAGAATAATAAAGAATGGGTAGTTTTGGGGACTCATTGATCAGATGAATAATTATCATGTGTTCATCGAAGTCTGCTCTGTTCAGTTAGTTAGTGTAAATTATCACCATCATCATCATCACCATCATCATCATCATTGGCAAAACAGTCCTTCTTTAAGCCAAAACCTTCCTTAGAAATTTCTCCTAGACTTGTCTATTTCATTATGAATTAGACTGTTCAGTTTTCACTTCTTTCAATTTTGCTACAGTAATCTTTTACAGAGCAAGGTTGTCAGCCTAGCATCCCACTCCCACCCTGGAGGACCAGTTAGTCTAAATAGAACTTAACAATCTAGACAAAGGAATCAGGGTCTTACTTCTAAAGATCAGGAACCACTCAGACAAAAATTTTAATAAACAACTGAATTCTGGATGAAGTGAATATATTTATGTCAACTGCAATATATCTCATGTTTGCTTTCCTCATCAGTATTAGAACGCACAGTTAACAAAACTTTATAGGAGGAGTAACACTGAAATTAAGAAATTAGAGTTTACAAATGTAATTAAAAGATTATATTCAGAATTAGAAATTTCTGTATGCTTTCCTTGTCTCCCCCATGTGAATGTGTGTTGCTTCTAAGAGCCTGTGGTGGATCACAGATAAAGATATTGTGACATGAAGCCTGAAGGCCAGAATAGTGGAGCCAGAGGAGACATCCATTGCTAGGCATCGACTCAGTGAATAAGTTTCCGCGGCAATGGACACACAAGCAACAGTAGAGGAACTGTTGGGAACGATGTTTTTGTTCAGTCAATGCAAATGATAATAAAAGAAGTGAGCCAGTGAATTTTGGCTCACTTGGCAGTTGGACTGTGAAGAGAAGCTTTACATGTGCTGTAGTACAGTCATATTTGGAATGTGTGGAATTGTGACTGTCAGATAGCCTGTGTTTAAATCCATTGCCAGGAAGCAGACAGTGCAGACTGTAACACTAACAGTGAACTGTAAAGTTTGGAAATAGCGATAGTGTTATAGTTTTTTGTAGTACAACCTGTAAGTGGTCAAAAGTCAACCAAAATCATAATAATATATACCTGTATGATCACACTACTACTCTGACAACTTGTGAGAATTACTTACCGCTCTGCTTATCATAGCCAAAATGTTTCGATTTGTCTTTTTCACTGAATTTTTGGTGTGGGACATTCTTATTGGTACCATCTGGCGAAGAAGCTGCTGCAATTAGACAAAGCCATCACTGAAATATTAATGGCTGCGATCCATCATGTGATGGGTGCACTTAGTGAAAATAACTTACCATCTGAAGGCATACATGTACTCTTAAAATATATATTTGACACATGAATTTAAAATTTAAAGTTTGAGTGAAAAGTATGAGAAATTTTAGTACATAATGTTGATTGGCACTTAGATTACTTAGATGTAAATTAGGGCCGCCCCATAGCTCAAGTGGTTAGTCACTGGCTTCCCACCGTGGCGGCCCGGATTCGATCCCGGTCTGGTCAAATGGGATTTGTGGTGGACAAAGTGGCATTGGGGCAGGTTTTCTCAAAGTACTTCGGTTTCCCTTGCCAGTCTTCATTCCACCAATTTTTCCACAGTCACCCTTACCTATCATCTGGGGCTGGTACAATAGGCCAGAAGTGGCCACAGTACAAGGGACTTAGTCCTACCCCACTAGCAATAAAAAAATAGATGTAAATTCAGAAATGATTACCAATCATCCTGTGGACTTGTAAGTTAAGACACAGTGCTACAATCTAGTGAGTTGCTACCAGCATCTCGAGGGTCTTGACTGTCTCAAGAGTCTCAAGGGAGATGCTGGTGGAGTCCTTATGTTCCACTGTACTAAACGCATTATCTATTCAAAGACCACCATATTATTCTCTATCACTGTGACAGTCTCAGACCTCCCATGATCAAGATCTGGAAGGTCTTCTTCACTTATGTTTGACCTTGTAAATTTGAAATGGTGCAAAACATCACAACATAGATGCGTAGGCAACACTGCGTTAAAACTAAGTCTGTAATTCTGCCCCCACAAATACACATTCTTAACCCTGCATTGGCTACATGGGTCTTATGTTTGTGTTGACCCGTGGGTATTATCCCCGGTTTTCCCTCCAGCAGACGCAACCGGTTGCATGCACCAGTCCCCCGACACTTAGCGCTCGCACATCGGGGCGACCGAGTGGCTTGCAACAAACCTGAAATAACAGTAATAAAAAAGCTACCTCAAAGCTACTGCCCGACTACGCAACTGAAATCGTTAAGAAACCGGCTCGTCCGATCGCCCGTGACGGCCCGCGACTCTGGTAACGAAGATTGCAGACACGAAAGTTCCATTCGCATCAGTGGGTGGCGGTACATACAGATGGGCAAGGCTGGGCAGCGGAGGCGAGCGAGTGGCACACGGTCATTTTCATGCAATCAGCCGCGCCAGTCGAAGAGCGATCTCAGACTCATGAGAGCAAGACGGGGTCGGCTTTGAAGTCTCATTAGCTTGCAAATCTTAATTTTTGGACACGGTTCTAATTGAATGAACCTGAAATACATGTATTACGGGTTTCTCGTTGGCAATACGTGTTACGTTTTATTTATCTGAAAGCATATTGGTTCCATCTTCGTCGCCTCCTTCGACTCGCAAGGATATGGTGAAGGTATTCGACTCCGCCTCCACACGGAGATTAAAGACTGAAATAATGTGTTTATAAGAATTCAGCTCGTACCTCACAGGAAACACATGACGACTCTGCTACAAAGACCAACCGGTTAATGCTGTTCAGGGAAACAATCATTGTTTATGTGAGGACCATAAGGAACATATAAATACAGCCTTTGGACAAAAGCAGAGTTTCAGTATGTTAAAGCAGGTGGTACAGGAAGTAACCACTGGGCTTTAAAGGGTGAAATATCGGCAGTGTTACAACATTTGGGATTTAGGCAGCGTGAGAACACAGATATTGAGCACGTTGGCTCAATCTATACCTCAACACCGAAAATCCTGATTGAAGTTTCGTGGTTTTCCTCGACCCCCAAGCAAATTCCCTCTTAGTACCTCAATTAGACTTCCCTTCCAAATCGTTTTTAATTCATTATTCACCAAACATCTTACCATTCGACGCTATAGAGTCTCAGATACCGACAGCCGTCCATAAGGAAATCCTAAATAAAACAGAATTCAGGATGTCTTCTGGGCTATGACGCCTTGTATCCTTTTAGGTGGACATCAAGATTTCATATTCAGGCACAATTTTTTTAGAGGAATATTTTTCTCTACGAAAGTACACGGCGTCATATCCTAGAAAACAGTAATCTCCATAGTCACGGCTGTAGGAGCCCCACATATTCCGATGGCTTGTAGCTGCATTATTCTGCGCTACTAATAGTGGGTCTGTTTTCTACCTGAGTGACTTTCTTGCAAGTGAATATCAACGAATAAGAGCAAGAAGAACACCGGCCTGACGAAACTCTGGAAAGAAGAGGCCATCTTGAAGTCTGAAACAATAATCACGTGTATTGAATATTAGAATAGGCAAGTTTAAAAAAGTACGTACATTTGGCTGGAGCTTACATGCCATCTTCCCACTAAACAAATATGTATTCGCTGACTTTCTAAACACTGACATTATTTAACCTTCTAAAGCACGTCGATTATTGTATGAACCATTTGTTTTAATTTAAATCTCGTTTCCGTACGCTTCATGATTCAAAGCACATACCGAGAACTGAGACAAAGAGACGTGTAAAGGCCAAGTTAGCATAAAGGGCTCATGAGCTGTGACTAGGGGGCCTATGTAAGGCTTTTGTTTTCCTTCATTGGAACTATATAAACCGGATCATTTGAACGGAAGACACAACATTGGAAATTGAGCGTAGAAGGGATAGTAATATTACGTTTGTTCTTAATGATACAGGATATGTGACTGGTGATCAGTGTCGGACTCTGGTGAACATGGCAGTGAATTAAGAGTTTGATAAGAGTCGGATAATTTATTGTTAGCTCAGAGATCATCAGATTCTCACGGAGGTTCTGCTTCGTGGAGTTTGTATCGTCCTAAATGCGACTTTCCACTTTGCGCTTTTGAAACGAACAGTTGCGTGTCATTTAGTAGGCCGTGCTCTGGTGGAACAATGTCCGTCCGTTTTAGCGATTTTCGTGTATATAGAAGCGGGGGTGGGGTTTATGTGCACATACATTCGGACACAGCTTCGTTTGTGTAACTGACCTTCGTGTTTAATGCGCCATTTTTTTGTTTCTGCCTAACAGGTCGCTTCTCAACATACATATCCCTCGCATTCCGTCACGAGACTTTAGCGCGGGTGTCCATATAATTGACATTCCTAACAAGAACTCCGAAACTGCGTAAAATAAGAGAAAAAGCAATTCATCGCTATGGGTACGCTTGGTTTTGTTATCAATATGACAATACACAGCAGATGACGGAATTAAATATCTTGGATTTAGCTCCTCTTGCTGCCTGCTGGTTTCTCGTTTGACTTATTCTCGACTCTAAAAATAGATAACTCTTAAACATATTTCCTGCAAACACTGTTTCTGTTTACGTCGTGCCTGTTCCATTCCACTACTTCTCTAGTTGAGACGTCGCCCTCGTCGGCTCCGGGGGGGGGGGATCTGAAACCCAACTGCATACCAAGTGGGCTGAACTTGTTTTCGGGAGGGACTCGCTGCGAATCTGCCGGGTTACCGGTTTTACTGAGATTTTTTCGTGCTTCACCCCAGCTTTTTCGGAAAATGTCTCGTTAGGCCACGACCGCTTCCTTCGAAATCATTTTCAATTTACCAAACATCCCATCATCCTACGCCTCGGCAGAGAAGAACGCCTTTCCGTCTTCTGTCATTTGATATAGTTTTAAAAATATCGTAAGACCTGAAATCTTTGGCTAACGTGTAAGTGTACGCACTACGTAACAATACTGGGTGTTCACTCGTTTTTGTTTAAACATATCGACTACTGCAAGACTTGAGAAAAACCTGCAACGATTACAAAATACGTAATTCCATTTTCTCTCAAACATTTGTTCGAAGCATTTTTTTCCTCGTTTCAATAAACATTTCAGAAATGAATGCATGACTTATAACATGTACACTATTTTTGTACGACTTAAACCAAAATTGGAATGGAATGACAAATTTCAGTAATTCCTAATATCAAATTTATGCAAACCTTTTCGGCATTTCTCGAGTTGTTTGTTATATGAAGTGTGACAGATGGACACTGCGAAGTTAATAAGACACACTTTTGCATCTTCTCATTGCTAACATCCCCCCCCCGGCCCCAAATGTTATAATAAATATTGTAAAAGTTACGTAACAGCATATGACCCCTTCACACCCTTACCTTTTATCACAATCACATTAAAAAACCACCATTCTTCTTCCATAGCTGCCTGCTTGATAATCTGACGCTGTAGAACTGTCAAATGTCTCCTTGTAATGTTCGCTTGCCATCGTTTCCAGTGACACTGCGACTTCAAAATTGTTCGTACTCTTACACATGCTCACCTTCTAAAGCTTCACTCATTCATATAATCATATGAGAGTACTACTACCTCAAGGTCGAAACCCAGCCAATGGTACTGCAATGAAATAAACCATAGAGTAATTTGCTCTATCGTTAAAGACAGTGCATTTCTTAATCGCCAGTCATAATGAGGGGAACAGATAATATGGTCAGTATTAGATTATGCACCCAGACATAACCGGCTAGATCACAAGCACATGAAACGTTCTGTAAAATAAAGTTATCCTTGTCTTTAACGTTTTTCTTGTTATTCACGAGATTTCTCGCTTAGAACCGATGGGACTTCTCACGTTCATTGGCTTTCAGTTTAAGAAGAGTCTAACAATTATCTTCAGCCGGTTTTGCGCATCAAGGAATTCATCCTATCCTACCTTCCAGTTAAACTAAGCACTTATGTTCATGTCCCCCTCGCCAGAATGAAAGCAAACCATGACACAAAGATACGTAATAGATCATTCCAAAAATAGGTCAGTCTTTCGAATATGTATGAACGACCGGGGAAAATCAAAATTACATTCATGAAGAAATTAAGAGCTGACAGAATTCTGGGAATGTTTGCTACCATTCATTTTAAAATCTGCCTTTGCGTCTGCTATCAAAAACATAAAGATCAGGACACAAACCCGCAATTTTACTGTTGCTTTGGACGGGTGTAAAACTTGTTCTCTTACCCTAATGGTACAATACAAACCACTGAAGTCTGCGATGTTTGAGAAAATAACATTTGGACCTAACAAACAGGAAGTGATGGCGGAGAAAACCGAATAACGCGCAGCTTCGTAACTCTTCGCCAGACATGAGAACAACAAAGTCAAGCAGAATTACATATGCGGGGTATACAGCACGCATCGGAACATGAAAAATATCTTCAAAAGTTTTATACGGAAAGTCCATATGGGATGCCTTGGCGTACGGAAGGATAATATTAAAACGTATCTTATGTTAAAGTGACCCATGAAAGATTCAGTGGCGTGATCTTGTGAACACGGCATTGAAAATCCCGTTTGTGGAGCTTACAAATAGAAACGGAAGGTTTGCTGTCACACAAATGCTTTTTATTTATGAATTCACATCATGTTTCAGAACAGATAGGCCATCGTCAGATGATTCTTGAGGAAATACATAAACAGTGACGGATTACACTCAAACTACAAAGTCATTATAAAAATTAAAAGAAATACTAACACTCCAATTTATATGGAATCCATCATCATTTGCGTATTTCGTCAAGAATCACCTGATGATGGCCGTCTGGGTCGAAACATGTTGTGGACTGACAAATAAGAAACATCTGTTTGATCAACGGCAACCCTTGCATTTCTACGGTACAGTATTGAAACTTTGGTTTCCACAGTAGGCGCGAGATTTCTCGAACATCCAGAATAGATCCTGCACTTGCAGACAGTTTACCGCGCCCCGATTGAGACCTTTGTTTCGTATTGTTGCCTTTATCTTGTGCAGCATTAACATCATTATCAGAAGCGGAACTGGGTACATGGCGATTATCCTCACTTCCGGGGACAATACAACCACAGGAAGCTACGGCCGCTGATTTCATTTCACCTGTTCAAAAAATAAGCAACGCGGAATATACGTGCAAATGTGTATCAGGAATGAAAATACCCGCTTCCTCTACGGATGTCTGGCTTGGGCCGAGATTTGAACCCCATACCTCCGGAAACAGAATAGTAATGACAAATACGCGGCCGCATCGTTTCGGAGTTTCTGCTGTTGATGCCCCCATCTTAAGGGACGAAGGGCAAGCCGAGCAACTAGCATTAGGCAGGCGACTCTTCCTAACCTCAAATGCAACATCGAGATCAAGGTCTCCATTACACAGACCAACCAGTTGACGTGAATGGAAATTACTCGCTCTTCATTGTGACAGTCATAGGACTATGTTACACGTAACTACACTGCGAATTTTTTTTTTACATTAAAAGCACGCGGTACATACACATAGCACTGTACTTCATATGGTAAGGCACCAAAGCCATAAAACGTATGTAGGTAGCTCCACACATTTTCGCTATTTGATGGAAGTACACACTAGCCTTAGGCTCCATACTGAGTGACCCTCAGATCTGATATCAAAGTTGTGACAAAGTCAAAAATCCAGGTCCCTGCCAGAAACCGAACCCGGCCCTAAGACAAATAGGAAGGAATGTCTGATCTGATAATTTAATATGGAGTCTCATAAAAGGCACCTACCAAAATCGCTTTCACCCCTAAAAATAGTGTTCTTCACTTCTCTCACAATTTTCCCTCTTAATCTCCTATTATTTCCTTCTTTGTCTGTCTCTCACAATGGTTCACACAACTTGTGGTCTAACATGAATTAATATGTTCGCTTGCCTGAACACCCATGAGCACAGCTTAAACCAAGTAACATTCATGGATGAAACTGATGTTAGGCCCTGCATCTCTTATATTTCCCTGATTTTCTCTCATAATTTTCATGTGTAACTTACTACACAACCAACAAATAATACTAAGTGGCACAAAGCTTATTTTAACAGGCAGAGTTTAAATTAATTTTGTTGTTAACTGCCCATAGGTTTGATAACTGTATGGTTGTATTTGATCCCCTGCTATGAAAATGTACCACAGTCCTGTGTTCCTCATATTCATACACTGAAAGAAGTGGGTTTGAATATTGGGTAGTTTTTATATTACAAAATTCATTGGAGATGAGCTGTTCTTCAGAAGTCAACGTTTGCTCATCTACTCAAGAAATTATCAGCATTTATGAAACTCAGAGGCTTATTACTTTGTCCACAACAGCCTGCCACTAGTCCTTAATTTGAGACAGATGAATCCAGTCCATGCTGTGCCATCCTACTTAAGATCCATTTTCATACTACCCTCCCATTAAAGATAAGGTTGACCCTGTGCTTAACTAATTACGCACTACATCATGAAGACGTATGGGGGGAGCAGATGTAGAGAACCATGTTTTCTTGACCTCGGCACTAGTTGGAGATGAGTTGTCAGCTTCATGTCCTGGCCACTTTACCCTCAGGGAAAGAGCTCCCAGTACCCATCGGATAGTAGGCTAGTTGGAGAAGTGAAAATTCTTGCCCCCACCTGGACTTTAAATCCAACCCCTTGGTCGTCCGGCCCGTAGCTAGTTGCTATACTTGTACTGACTGCGTTAGTCTGGTTCTACTCCCATATATTCCCACCGTGGCAGCCCGGGTTAGTTCCCTGGTCTGGTCAAGTGGGATCTGTGGTGGACGAAGTGGCGGTGGGGCGGGTTTTCTCTGAGCACTTCGGTTTCCCCTGCCAATCTTCATTCCACCAAATTCTCCATCATCATAATCAACTGCAGCCATGATGAGTGGACCCACTTGGACTCCACCCCCCCACTAAGCGAATTATAAAAAATGATTTGGATATTAGGTGCAAGAAAAAACCGAATCAATACAAAAAAGTATTGTAATGATGGTTCTTTGAACTATGGGTGATGATCACACACATCTGATAAGTACTTACGAGCCCATATATTATTTAGATCCAGGAAACTGATGGCTCTTGCAGTGTGCTGGTCTTTTTATATGCATATACCATACGGACAACCAAAAAAGAGTGAACCAACCATATATAATAACACATTTAAAATCATACTCTGATCCAAGACAGGATTAAATAGCAGGTGTCTGAGAACACAGTACTGAACCTTCAAGTTCTGTGAGAAACAAGGAACTTTTTGAAGAGTACCATCTTCTGGGATACAACACTACATAAAATCTTGGCCCAACCACAAAAGGGCACCATAAGCATCCTAATGAGTCGCTGAGGGCTCAGTGCCTTTGCTGCTGTCTTCAGTGGTGCTGAGCCCCACGCAGTTCAGCTGGCACCTCTGCAGATGAAGATATCCAGATCATATTTTAATATCTTCCAAAACATCCCCATTAAATTGATGGGGTTCGTGTCTATGTGACTAATTTGTCTTAACCCTCTGAAGCTTGAAACGCATCTACATAACGAAGAAAGTTGTCTTCTGGGTTTAGGCACCGTGTATTCTTCGTTTTGGCCGACGTTTCGGAGGAACGTAGCGCCTCCATCTTCAGAGCAGTTGAATAGCTGCGGAGAGCAGTAGCTNAGGGAAATAACTGCTCTTTATTGTGAGAACCAAACGAAGCACATAAGAAATACACTGCATGGGCAATGTGCAGGATTTATTTTTCCTGTTAAAGTATGTAAGTAGGTGGTACACATAGCACACATAATACCGAACTTTAAAGGTTAACCCCTGATGTCCATTAAAAAACAAATATTGGAACTTTCAGCATTTTATGAAACCTGAGGATTCACAACCATATTCATAAAAGCCCACTGTTGGTGTGTATCCTGAGCCAGATGAGTACAGACCATGCTGCCATATCCTGTTGCTTTAAGAAAACAAATGGAAACTCTCCCAAACAAAATCACAAAATAAATTCTGTTCCCAATTTATCTCTTTTCGCATATATATTTTTTTTATTTTACTTAACTAGACTTCATAAGCATCAACCATTATGTCAGAAGCTGCACAAGGCTCTTTAAGAACTGAAACAGATAAGATGTAACATAACCTCAAACATTACTTTATACAATGAAATACAGCTTCTCATCCCTTAACAATTCTCATTACTGCCACTGAATAAAAGGAGACCCTGTGTAGCAAAAAATGTCTATATCCACATCAGAACAATCCACTGGACCTCCCGTTCTTAAGCACTGTGGTCTGTTTTGTAATTATCATACATTATGGTTTCCAGTTACCGACATGTGTCAATACGAGCGTTATGTTGAATAGGCAATACAAACTAACTGGACCTTAGAACTCTGAATACTAAACCATGTAAAAAATACCTAAGTAGTAAGACTGCAGTCTTCTAGGATGTCATCCACCCTGAACATATGGGAAGTGTCTTCCTCTGAAACACTGCCACCCATCTACCAAAGTACACTGTGCCATATACACAAACACAACAGTTTTAGTATTCACCACTGCAAGAACTCCACACCTCACATAACAAGTCCCTGAACCCTTCACATATAAAGCACAGCACATTAACACAGTGCGCCTGTGAGTGGCGTTCAGTGTCACCACAGAATATATGGCTCTCACACAAATCTTGGTTACAAAACTGAACTTGTGACCGACCATGTTATGTAATCCATGGTAATTTTCCACCGTTCTCAGGGGTTTCATGTAATTCATAGCTACATTTCCTGTTTTAAAAATTTCACAAGAGTGCTTATAATTATACATGTTAATGTAAAATCAGCACTTGTTGACACTGCTATATTTTGGAATGTTTTGTTTCATTCATTCACAAGTAGTTTCAGTGATTCAACCATTGTGCATGCTTAATTTTCTCTTTTAATTCTTGAACTGAGTTACACGTGAAGTACAGATGATACCGGACCAAGAGGAACCAAATTTAAACTTGCCTGCGAACTGCAAATATATCCCCTCTCCATCCTAATCTCATCAAAATCTATGAAGTAGTTTCAAAGATAAAAAGCTGTGTACAAAAAGATATCATGCCTGCTGCCCCATTATGTGTTCTTCATTTTGTAAATTATGACTAGAGTGGAAATCTTAAGTACTAAGATACTGTTTCAGCTTGTTAACCCACAATTTTCATATCCATATGCTACACTGACTAAAGAAAAGAAATCTTATCACATTGTGAGACTGGTTCAGAAAGTGCCAAGGTACAGTACTGGCATGAGCCATACTGAGGGGAACAAAAAGTTAAACTTTGGATTAGTAAATGTTATATTAAAAGTTGATACATTCTTGCTGTTCTGCACATACATCATGCAAATTTTAACTGATTAACTGCTACATTATGTATGTAAAGTAAGTAAAAAATTAAGGTATCCCTGTACCAGGCCGTGAAGTCCCATAGGGTTGTGAGACGTTGAGGGTCCCACATTATCTAGACCAAGGGTCTCCAAACTACGGCCCGCGATGTGATTTTATCCAGCCCGCAAAACAATTGTGCAGAAATGCGCCAATTGAACTAATTTTCCAATGAGTACTGGTAAATGTGATTCTGAGCTTATTGACCTGACATATTATACTGCAGTTCGATGGCTTAGCTGTGGAAAGGTTATTTCACGCTTCTTTCAGCTCAGGAATGAAATTGATATATTTCTTACCGAGAAAAACCATCACGAACCACTTTTATCAGATACCAAGTGGCTTTGGAAATTAGCAGTTTTGCTGATCTGGTAAACCATATGAACCATGTGAATTTAAAGTTGCAGGGTGAAAATAACATAGTTTGTGATTTATTTGCACTTATCAAGGCATTCAGAGCAAAGTTGATACTTCCGGAAAGGCAAGCGAAAAATTGTAACTTTGTTCATATGCTATACTGTGCAGAGTTGCATTAAAAGGGTGAAGCAGAATTTCCTTCCTCGTTTGCAAATTTAGTCATTTTAGATTTGAAAGAACAATTTCGGAAATGATTTGCTGATTTGGATTAGTGCTCAGGAAATTACTTTCTTTCATAATCAGTTTGACTGGGATGCTGCAGACGTCAAATTCAAATGGAAATTATTGAACTTCAGGAAAATTATCATATTAAAGACAAATATAAGGAAGGAAATTTGATCGAATTTTATAAATTTCTGAACTCTGAGCAATTTCCAAATTTAAAGAAATTTGCTTGTAAACTTATCTCCATTTTTGGGACGACGTATCTGTGTGAACAAATTTTTCCCAGATGAAGTACATCAAGTCGAAATACAGGGTAAATTTATCCGATGAACATTTAAAGTTGCTACTTGTGTTTAGCGTTTCAAAATTTGAACCTCAATTTAATCAGATTTTAAGAATGCAAAAAGAGTTCCATCATTCACATTAATTGTTTTAATATAATTTGTGATGAAAATATGAGCATTTGCTGCTACTGTCTATTGTCATTAATATTTGATAATTTATTCTCATGTACTTTGTATTTAGTTTATGAAATTCTGTGCTTTCAATAAAACTCATATACCTAGAGTTATAATTTCTCATTTTATCCGGCCCGTTGAAAGTGCTGAATTATCTAATGTGGCCCACATTTCGAAAAGTTTGGAGACTCCTGATCTAGACAATCGGCTCAAAGATTGCAGTAAGGTTGTCAGCCTTACGCGCCGGCCACGCTTTACTCCCCAGGATAATTATTTAATTAATTCCTGGTACTCATTTCTGTTAGAGGCTGAGTGAACCCCAGGGCCTAGTGTGGCTGGAAGGATTAGGTCAATTGAAAAAAAATCCAATGATCTCATCAGGACTTGAATCCGCAACTTTCCGCTAGCAAAACCTCATTGCTTTGTTTTTTACACTTTTCATTTATCATTCCAGCAGCTTCTTCAGTGCTCCCACAGCTGGCAGCACCAGATGGAAATTCATCTCCGAGCACTGATCCAGCTATAGAATCAACTAAGGAAGCATATGTGTCAACACTACTATAGCAGAGCTTAGCAGTGAAGAGGTTCAACTATTTCATGACATCTTTATATGCTTCACTGATAATGTGTGTCAATTGATGAGGACGGAAGTGTCAATCTACATACTGCTGAGTAAATAAGGATTGCCTCCATCCAAACAAGAACATAGTCTGTCCAGCTTTCACAATATACATGACAATGACATTTCTACTGCCAGTGTGACAATTCAATTACAGGTCAAGTTGGTATAACCAGACAACTGGAATGACTTAGGCAAGCAGGTACCATATTTATATGACTTTAAGATGACAACAATCACAGTGGTAAATTCTGATAGAAAATAACTGTATTACTCATTCACACAAAATCCTTAGGTACAATTCTTTAACACAAACATAACTTTTATTCCAGTCCCTTCACTAGGGACTGTTTCATCCAGATAATGCCACATCATTTTAACTGATGAGGGGTTCTGCCCCCCCACTGAGATGTGTAATAAAATATTTTCCATTCATGGGTTGAAAATCACTGTCACAGAACATCTCACTTCTCACAAAACTTATAATGCCCTTAATAAACCAGCAGATGAGCAAGCACTGTTGGCTATGGGCCCAAAGCCAATGTTTTTGACTTTCTGAATTGTTGTTGGTACTTTGGTATGTTTACTTCATAACGCGTTACTCTCATTCCATTTAAAGTACCCTTTAATGCATCCGAAAGAAACACTTCATGCCATTTTACCAGCAGAATATTCCAAGATTGAAACTAAAACAGTAAAATCAAATTCACAGAAAGAGATTAAAACATTCAACAGTACAATATTTGAGATAAACTGCAATTAGGAAAAGTAAATTTTCAAAAATACTTCAAATTCTTTCTAGTCATTAGGAAACTATGACTTACAAACATTGTAGCACATGGATGAGAGCTTGGAATATGAAGTATAGAAAATGTTTCATAAGGTAAACAGACCTGAACAGAAGACAGTATTCACCTCACATTTTGTGTAACTTTCATAGTTCATCTGACCCATGTCCTAACTGCTTGTCTTCCCATACCCTGTCTGAAGAAGTTCGGAGCCTCACGCAATCTTCACTGCCCTTATCACAGCCGTCCTCTTCTGCTGTTCCTAGCACTATATCATCACTGCTACGTGGGCTCAGTTTCACAGCAACCTGCTCCTGTTCCATTTCAGCCTGACCAGAAGTCCTCTCCCCTGCCTTGACAGGGGCAGCTAGCTGCACTAACTCTGCGAGCAGCCACGTAGCGTGTAAGCGAGCAGATGAACCCTTCTTGCTTCCATCAAACTGTTTGCTCAGCATCTGGTGGTAGAGACGCACCAGTGACTCAGGCACTACCACGTCTCCCTTGTTCTCGTCTTCAGCCAATGCAGTAAGCAGCTGCACCCAGCGTTCTTCCTCTGCTCTGCTTGTGAACACTGTGGGTGGCTGTGTTGCTGCTGACGAGTCTTGACGAGAAATGTGAATGGTCTCCTGACTGTCAGCATTGCTTTCCACTGCTGCCGGGAGGTTGCCTACATCTGCCTGCATAACCTCTGGGATACCTACACTTCCCTGAGGAAAAAACAAACATGTTTCTCTTATCCATGATATGTATGTAATGGCCGTCTTGTAGTGCACTCAATTTCATATGTCACTTCTTACTACATGTTTCAGCAACATAGTGCCATCTTCAGGTTCATTATTTATTCTCTTAGAGGAAATGGTTTTACTATAAACAGACCCTCACAGTTTTGGAAATATCATGGTTCAGCAGATGATAATCTTATAACATACTTGTATATTTATTTGTGTATTCATAACAATGACAACATCCCCTTGATGAGCAGAATAAGCCAAGAAGTGAGCAACACCAGCGAGAAAAATGCATAGCTTTATTTCAATTTATTTAATAAAATAATGTCTATCTATTTCATCTATTCGTGGTCTGACAAAGATGTTTGTGAACTCATCGCAGTACCTCATTGCTGAATAACACTGTGGTCACCTTCAAAGTACTCCCCTTGGGAAGCTATGCACCAATGCCAGCGCCTAGTCCATCCTTCAAAATAATTTCTGAACTTGTTTTGTGGAATGGCCTTTAGACCTGCAGTCGTGTTATTCCTGATGTCATCAATGTCATCAAAATGCCTTCCTTTCAATATTTCCTTTACCTTCAGGAACAGAAAAAAGTCACTGGGGGCTAGATCCAGTGAACAGGGAGGGTGTTCAAACACAGTTATTTGTTTACTAGCTAAAATCTCCCTCACAGACAGTGCCATGTGAGCAGGTGCATTGCCATGATGCAAGATCCACGAGTTGTTGGTGACAGCACACCAAAACACACTCAGACAATAACAGACGCCACTCAGAAGAAACTACCATAGATCAACAACACAGCTGTGAAACACTGATATACTAACATCATCAAACCATACTGAGGTTCTTGTCCACCACTGCCATGGTAAGCACATGGTGGCGATTTCGCGAACCTACTGTCAGACCTTGTAAGTTCTTACACGCCCAATACATAAATGCATAAGTCAATGCAAAAGAAGAGACCATGTCTCATAAGATTGAATCCTATCTGTACTTTCCTGTATGTCATAAGGTAAACTGTCCATCTGACAATGACCATTTGCAGTTGAAACACGCATCACTTCAGCTTATGACATATAAGAGAATATGTTGCAGCACACATGATGACAAGTGAAAGTGAATGCAGGTGTCTCATAATTCATTATACACAGTTAACAAAAACTAGAAGCAACTTAAGATCAGTCTTCTGCGGTATGTTGTCTGATGGGTACCAACATTTCAGAGGATCCTGCTGCTTCCGTCTTCTTCTAGCCTGAAGATGGTGGCAACAGGTTCTTCAGAAACACCAGTACCTACCACACTACGCAGTATCACATCCAGGAAGGCAGTAATCTTAACATTTCTACAGTCACCATCTCACATGTCATCTAGAAACAAGTCAGCCAGAATATTCCAACCTTTGCTACAGCATCCTGTTTGTTGAGGAACTCCTGGATTGGGTCTTTTAGCCTTTCCAGTGTTGAATCTTGTGATTTTTCTTGTAATGACAACAGCGAACCGTCACTCTTCAGCTTATCAGTAGGCAATTTCGCTGGAAACAGAAATGATATCAAGATTTTGTGGAGTACATACAGTGCTGACTTGCACATGTCCCTTTTGCCATTCTTCTAATGGATCAGCACAGCGACTCTCATTCAGAACCTCCCAGACGGGGACAGTTTATCTGATGAGCTATTCTGTTATTTCCTTCAGTTCCTCCAACTGAACACAAGCTACCAAGAGTGCCACATCCCTCCCAATAATTACTTAGCAATACACAACCCAAGCAGCTATAGAACCAACACAAATTAAGTCACAAACGATACAGTCTCTGGTGCTCCTAGTTGATATATGAGAAGCAATACAACTCTTTAAGATCTGGCAGAATGCAGTAAACCATGTCAGGGATTCAAAAATGGCAACATATGCAATATGGAGGCGCTGGGTACAACACTACTCTCTCATTCAGATGTTACTGATATGATCTCCAAGCTCACTTATGCGTAGATTTCTCTGGCCACAAATGTGAACCTTCACTTCTATTGAAGATAAATCTGTGGGTATATGTAGAACAACAGAACAGCACCCCCCAATGGTTCAGAACCCCATGCTAACCACCATTCTTTTGATCACTTTACCACTGGGGGTAACAGACCTGCCATGTGGGTGCTCCACCACAGAAATGGGTTCCATGCTTTTTCCTTGGTGAACAGAAGCCAAATTGTACATCAGACATCATATCTAGAGGCAAAGTAAAGGTAAGCTGGTAAAGTTTTCACTGTGCTTAATTAATTAAGCACCACACCCTGAAGATGTATGTGGGAGTGGAGGTATAGTTCCACCATTCTTGACCTCAGTACTAGATGAAAGTGAGTGGTCAGGTTCACTTCCTGGTTCCTTTTCACTGTGGAAAAGGCCCCTGGTAACCATTGGACATGAGTCTGGGTGGATCCTAGAGCCAATCTGGATGCTGTGGCATACAGAGAAACATCCTGCCTAACAGGAATCAAACCCTGGCTGTCTAGTCCGTAGCCTGGTCACTATACTGACTGAGCTATCCTGACTCCACTTGTATCTAGGATCTCATATCTAGAGGAACTTGAAATGTACACATAATGCAACTGTCTGCTCTAGCTTCTGTGGGCACTGCTTTCCAAGTGGTACCTGTTTCATGCTTCTGCTGTATGGCTCTTAAATCTGTGACAGTCACTTCCAGTGCAGGATTGATGTACATAGCATCCATCAGTTCAGAAGCATCCTGATAGAAGAGAAACACAACAGGGATGGTAACATCGTCAGTGCCATCGCCCGACATGGCAAACATGGGGGAGGTGGCAGCTGATGTCCCTGGCGTATTGTCCATCACAATGCCTGCAATGGCTCCAGCTTTCTGCAGCCGTCTTGCCTGTCACACAGATCAATTAGGATGTTATGAATGGTGTAACTACTGCACACAGGACCCTAATGGCAGAGGATGTACCAGTGCTCAAAAGATCTGCAACCAATCAACATATGGGACCTACACATTTCCACTCAACAAAGAACAGAGTTAATCTTACTGAACATACGAAAAGTTTTGGTTCCATTCATGTCTGCAGTCTTTAGCTGCCCTGTGTAAACAGCTAAACTGTGTCTCTACCAAGTTTATGAAGTTCACTTAGATTGTGATAGCATTTTGTTTGTCATCAAGAAATACCAGCATCTTTCTCTGACCACAAAATGAATTATATGCGAGATCTTAAAATAAAATAACATTGCAACAGCATGGACCTGCTGTCATGTAAACATAGGTACAAGGGTGGCCCCTTAAAATAGTCTTCAAGGGGTTAAAACAACAGGTCATTAGGGTTACCACCAACAGAATGGAGCTCCCTGCAGCTTTTATCAGTCCACAAGGAGGTACAGCGTACAGTGGAACACATTCTAACGCTTGGCACTAGATGTCAGTGGTGAGCTTCATGCTCCAGTCCTGTTACTCCTGGAGAAAGAGGCTGTCAGCCAAAGTCGAGTGGACTTGGCTCCAGTCTCTAATTTCTAGAAAAACTTGTAAAAATGACCATAGTTATTGATTTGTTATCTAAGTACAGTAAGTTTATCTTATTTCCCATCGTGGCAGCCCGGGTTCCATCCTGGGTCTGGTCAAGTTGGATTTGTGGCGGACAAAGAGGCATTGGGGCAGGTTTTCTCTGAGTACTTCGGTTTCCCCTGCCAATCTTCATTCAACCAATTGCTCCACAATCACCCTCACTTAACATCTGGGGCTGATACAATAGGCCAGAAGTGGCAGCAGTACAAGGGACTCAGTCCCACCCCACTAGCAATAAAAAAAAAGTTTATCTTAAACAATTTGCAGTCAACTGTTTCACATTATGCCAGCTTCAAGCTTTGACTGACTGCATTTGTGATATTTACATTCTGCACATTATCATCTGAAGTTATGGGGTGTGGCACTGTGTTGTTTGGTAGACAGTACCAACATTTCAGAGGGGCGTAGCAGGTTCCTCTGTAACATTGGTAAATAAGTGCCAGACTACACAGTCCCAAATTCCAGGTGACAATAATCTCCACCAATGGATAAGAATGTGAGACAAAGTTACACATCAAACGGAAAGAATTCAATGAACAGATTACTGACTTGGTATCACTGCAAGTAAATTTAATATTTTTTGCCTGGGAAAGACAAATCTAAATTCCCAAGTTCTGTGGTCTTTGGAACCATATTATAATTTGTGGCTAACTCTATTAGTATTAAGAAATTCAATGCCTTCCCCCTGGACCACACACATGCACCACCATTACAACCTGATGTATGGCCGACAAAGGTTAAATGTGGCAAAACCTGAAATTAAGAAATATTTCATGGGAATTTCATTGCAATTAGGTAATGATAAGTATACTGAAATGAGAGATGTAAGAATAGGAACCTATGTCATAACATATGAGTAACAAGTGTTAACAATTCTCACTTGCATTCTGGATGTAACTTCCTCGTTACCTGACGCACATCACTCTCACCTTCTCAACAAACATACAGTCTCCACGCTCCACTATAGCAATGCGTCCTCTGATATGCTCCGGGTTCAGCACATCTTCGCATACTCTTAATGGATCCGCCACACCTACACGACCTTTTACCTGCAAGACATATTTCAATACTGTACATATTACCATACCCTAGAAAGATTTAACCATTGCTGAAGTGAAACCAATCTAAGACAGCTTAATGAGATCCACTCACTGTTATGCACTGTATACACCCAAACAGAAGGTGTGGCTATTTTCCTTACTTTTAGACCTTGGGTTCAAGTGGGAAATGCATTCCTGTCAAACCATATTGCCAGCAATGCTTGAAGTTAAAGAGCCTCAAGCTACCGAAGGTATGCATGAAGCGCCACTGAAGCTATGAACCCAAAGCTGTAATTCCTCATAGACGGCTCTTCCATTGGGGTCGATGAATTTAGGAATGGTGAAGATAGTAGAGAGAGCAGGACTGATTGATGAAACCAAATAAAGACTTCCAAGGCAACAAATTACTCAGTATAATATATGACACACTTTCACGTGTTTGCTTCAACAGCAGTACAAAGACACTTTTCATGTGCAGACATGCTTCTTAGTGGTGGGACAGTCTTAGATTGCAAGTTGCCTTCCATTCTGGTAAATACACAGAACCTTAAAAAAACCCACTTTAATATTATTATTATTATTATTATTAGAATAAATGCTTGACCACTGAAAGGAATTCTTTCACAATAGTATATCTCATGCTGCCAGATCATCCATCACATGCTTGCACCATGAGAATCTCACTGAAATGCAGCTAAAACATCCAGTAGCACACACTTCAAGAGATTCAAATATTCTTGGCAGGAAATAAGGCTCACCTCATCGGCATCACGCAACTCATGTCCAAAATGTGCAGGACCTGCAGTGAGGACAATCTGCTTATCCTCACCATCATCAGACCTCGTTGTGAAAGCAACAGCCTGAGGGGGTGTGTCAGGCTGCTGCGACTGTGACTTCGCCAGTTGCACCATCTCCTGCATGAAAAGCAGTCCCTCTTCTGCATCAGTTGGTGTCCGAGCCTGCAACACCGACAGCTTATACTTAGAAAACAGCATCATAAATCTTGTTTGGCACTAGGACTGCAATTTAATAAAACGTGAAAACAATAAATACATTTTTCAATAGCAATCCAGTTTTCAGTACCTCAGTGAAACTCTGTGTAATGGTACCTCTACTCCTAAGAGCAATAATGCTGAGAAACATGAATAAAATTTCCTCTTTTAATCCTGTTTAAATTACTGGGAGAATTTTTTACAACATTTCTAGACAAATGGGTAAACTGAATGCATAATCTGGTCATACCTTCTGCTGATCTATTCACGGTCTTGTTCAGAACTATCTGATAGATCTTGGAGAAATTTGGTACTTTAGTAGCCCAAATTAAAATTACTGGGCAAATTTAATTTTGGGATGTACTGGTCATCATGTACTTTACATGAAGCCTATACCTAACATCAAATTCCTCAAAAACTGCTAATTTTACAAAGACCTGGTAGGTTACAGAAAATATACCATGGTGTATAGACCCACTGTTAAGTGAGGACTCTATAAACAGTGGCCTTTGCTAGGTAATACGCACAACATAAATGAACTGTGTTTTCTATGTGGTCCATGCCGAAACGTTATAACAGGGAGGTCTGGAGCATAATCAGTAGTCAGTTCTGTAAAGGAGGCTGTGAAGAGAGGACTTCAAGTGTGGAAGCTGAAAAGTCTCCACTGTTAGGAACGGCTCATGAACACACAGCAGGCTGGAAAAAGCTTAGGGGGTGCTGTGGTGATTTATAAACTGTGAAGATTAGTGGTGGCACTGTAATTACTTGTGTGTATAAGTGGTCAATAAATCTATTCACCAATCCAAACCCTGTCTACAGTGACACGTACTATGTGACAATACATTATGATAAGGTCCGCAAAATGTGCAATATGATGAATATTTAGCAAAATACAGGACTAATGGTTCCCAACCACATACAGGGTAATGTGTAATGCAATTTTTATGAACTATCAGAGCCAACGAATTGGGACACAGCCTTCCAACCATGAGCCTGTTATGCTTCTCATACTGTGAAGGTGAGTGGATTTTCACACAACACAAACAGAACTTGTTACTGGACATTTAACAGAGTAATTTGCAGCCAGCAATTACAAGTTACAAAACATATGCCCATAATGTAAAAACTTTGGTACATTCACTCTTTTGGTTAATTATCTCAAAAACTGGACGACTAATTGAAATTAGTCCATTCTTCTCTACAACTTTTGTTTGTAACAAATTTTTTGCAGTATATATTTAGTGAGTTATACAGACATGCACATAGGTCTTCATATAAAGCCTTCTTGACTATCCTACTCTACAGAAATTGGAATGTGTTGACAAATTATATAAAACTCCCTAGCACCTAATTTCATGAAAATTCATTCAGAAGTTCTCAACTTGTTACATGTGGACAGACAGACAGCTGCACTTCTACAAGTGTCTGCTGTGAATATGCTGAAATATTTTCATGCCTGATTTGGATTTCAACAGCATTACTTTCAATACCGTGTTGATGGATGTTATTGTCATACACCAATGTTCAAAATTAACAAGTCTGAAACAGAATTTCTGCCAAATATGAACAAGGAGCAGATCTCGAGTTTCCCATATCTACCGAAGCTAAGCAGTCCAGTCAGACACTATGCTGCTGACATCATTACCTTCAAATGTTTCTCAGAAGACTGAGATATACAATTTATATACACTGCCGCATGCATACTAAACAGCCTCAGCATTCAACTTGTTCTACAAATACTGTCATGTGGGAACTTACGTTAGAAAAAGTGTGCAGCAGCTGCACCCTGCCATCAGGTAGAGTAAGGATAGAAATGCCCATATCCTTCACCATTTTCATGTGATCAGGATTACCAGCCTGTAACATGGAAACTATGAATCTCAGTTATTGTAACCAACAGCAGGCAGTCTCAAAGGAACTATGTCCCGCAAAGAACTGATTCAACATTAACAGAATATTTCAGCAACACAGTTCACACTAACCAGTTACCACCTCAAGGACAATCAAATGGAGTACAGTAAAATCTCAGTTATCTGGAATTCTCGTCCAACCAGCAAAAATTTCAAAGAAAATTTAACATTTTTTAAAATTATTCAAAAATAAATTCATGATGCATGTATGTTCAACTGTGATGCAGTAGTTCTCCCACCCACTACTAGAAGTGTTATCCACTTCCACCCCCACCCCTACTCACACAGGTGCCATTACAGTAGAGGCTAGCTGAATATGTGATCACTTTGCAGTATATGTATCCAAAATCTTTCACTCCTCAATTTGCTGTGTTACCTACGAAGATTACCATGCTGGGACTAAAGCAAAAATTGGCTCTTTTGACTCTGTATTGGGTCTCTGTAAGTGTTTTTCTCATGCAACTGGCACACCCCCTATGGATGACATAATGGGAGAATTTACTGCACAGTACACACACATCACATTACAACAAGCCAGAAAGAAAATCACACAAAAAGAATAAGAATACTGTCTCCTTTTTGTGGGTTATCTTATGATGCAGGTAGCAGGTGGTATGAATGAGGTTAGATGTGGAAAGGGTGGGAAAGTTCTGTGTAGTTGATGTACACAGACAATACTGTAAGGATGTGTGATGCCTAAAACATTACAGACAAAACATACTAAGGTATGGACAATGCAAAAAAAAAAAAAGACACAAGAGAAACCTTCCTATTAATTTGCTTCAGGAGTGGCCAGTTTTTAAGGCAGGTGGATCAAAAGTGAATACAAATGTTGTGGCAGTCTACCATTTTCCATGTTATGCTTAAACTGAATGAATACACAATTACAGTCTCCTGGAATATGACTCTGGGGCAGTCTTGTAGGCAGCCACCAATGTTTCAGAGGTACAAACAGCCTCTATCTTCAAGATGAAGTGAATCTCATAAATGAAAATTGACACTCAACTCAGGAGAACAGTGAAGCATGTGGGCCAGAGTCATACAAATACAACACACCCCCTGCCCCCCCTAAAGAAAATAAGTTACAACTGTACACACCTGGAACTCAGAAGCATGTAATCTTCTCCGTGTGGGTCTCCGTGGACAAATACCATCCACAAGGTTGCGCAGGGGCCTACGAACTGATTCAGGGAACAAATGCAGGGTATTGGGACACGAGCGTGTGTATTCTGGGTCTGCTTCTCCCCTTCTCATCTCCAGCTGTTCTGAGATCTGGAAGGCCACACACACACACACACCAAACTTAGATTTGAAAGGACAAAATGTTATGTGAGAACTGAAGCCCTCAGTTAAGAAGATTCATACTGTGGTCTAGTGAATTATGGCCACATGTAATACAGTAGGGGACCACACTGCTGCTATCTTCAGGGTAAAGTAAAGACAAATTTGTCCCTGTGATTAATTAAGCACCACGCCATGAAGACTTTCAAGGGAGTGGAGGTTAGTTCCACCAGCACTAAATGGAGCTCAGTGGTCAGCTTCATGCCCCAGCTGCTTTACCCCCCGGCAAAGTGCCCCCTGTCACCAATGGAGAAAGAATAGGTGGGCCCCAGAACTGGCCTGGGCACTGTGGAGTAGAGAAAAATCTCTTACCCCTGACATGAATCAAACCCTGGCTATCAGTGAAAAGAGACCACACCTGATATGCGTACTAGCTTCCCTGTGAAAATGTTAATGCTCTAACTGGCCGGCATTCCCTCCTTCATTGCACAGGTTAACCAAGATAATTCAACTACTGCCACAGATTACATGTAAACCTGTCACACTATGAACTATATTACCTAGACCAGCACTCGGTCTAGCGAGAATCACAACTGTAAGGCCCTAAGGACAAGAATACCTGATCTCCTACAGAGAATAAACACACATATCAAACAACTTGACTGTTATGGAACAGCTCCAACATATGACAAACCTAAACCTAAGTTGAAGTCCCACACTTTGGCATAGGCTTTGAAAACTTTAGGAGAAGATGTACTAATGGTACAACAAAACATGACACTTCAAGATTACAGAGGACTGCACGAACAACACAACAAGCAGGCATTTCTAGAACACGAAGAAACTACAATGCCAACCCTCATTCAAGCATAAGATCTGGTCTTTCTGTTATTCTAACTTTGCACAAACCTGGGTCATGTTGCTTACCGTAACAACTGTATAGTTCGAGCTGCGAGCAAGTGACAGCGGAAGAAGATGGGCCTCTGTAGTAAACAGAAACTCATCCAGATCTAGCACAAGATCTGCTGGATCAGCAAACAGAAGATAAAGGTACTTAAGAGTCTCTGCTAGCACAAATGAGTCCATTCTGAAAAAAGGACACACATACATACTGACTAACAGCAAACGGACTTACAAGTGCTACACCTGCATTTGTCAAGTTTCTGGCCATTTAGGGCAATTATTCATCTGGAATGTGCTGTAGGCAGACACCAATATTCCAAAGCAACCCGCTGCCTCCATCTACAGGGAAGAAGAAAGTGGTGTGAATATATGGAGAGAGAAAATGACGACTGGGGTTTAGTGAATTGGTCATCCAGAGCCCTGGTCCTGATCCTCTGTCCCCCTGCATTTGTAGCATTCTCTCCCCACATTTGGCTTACTCTTCTATCCAAAAGACGAGGGTGACAGGGTGCTCCAAAATGCTGGTAACAATCTATCAGCGTACATGGAATTACATATCAAAAGACAGTAGTCTTCAAGAAATATTTGGTCTGACATAGATTTTACGATAAAACTGAACTTAGTTCCATGGTAAACAAAAAATATTTACACAGAACCCACTAAACCATACAGATCTACAAGGCTACGTGGGTTGATGCACGCTTGGCAGCTTAGCCCCGAGGCTATTGGGTTAATGCCCTCCTGGTAGCACTGCCTCTTTTTCCAACCAACATGGCTCTGTCTTTCTACCTGCTGGCCCATCTCCACAGACCCTTCCCCTCTCCTCTCTACTGATTTCCATATAGCCCACTCTCCCTCCCTTCCTGCTCTTATATAGCTGGGTGTTTTCAACTGGTGACTCAGTCTGCAGCCACCTGCTCATGCTGGCTCCTCGCTGGCAGATTTTCTACCCCGAAGGAGGAGGTGATACCTTCCTCAGAAACGTCGGTTTACACATGAACTACACAGCAACCCACCCCACAAGACGGCACTCTTCGTAGTCACCACTGTGAAAACCTCAAATCTTACAGAGTTTTGTTTTTATAGGTGGTCACACTCCAGGCAGGATGCGCTGCATATTTTTATTGAATGGAAGTTATACCTTTGCTATGCCATTTAAATGTGATGCATCACATCACTTACTTCAACCTATACTGGCCCTGCACATCACTGTGATGGTACATATGCACACTCCAGCTGGCTACATATTTCATCTTTTCACTGCTAACACCATTACCAGCAGAGCTAAAAACTCTGTAAACTATACGACTTAAAACCCCCCATTCCAGGATGGCAAACTGTTACCCCAAATCTGAATATGGCCAACAACCCTTAATAACAAAAGATTTAAAATCTCTATTCAAAGATAATAAATGTTACATCCCCTTTCATCTACTGTGTTATACAGAGCAGAAGACATGAAAATTTATGATTTCTACATTAGGAGTGACGAAGAGCTAAGAAGCAATCCTTCTCACACCAATAAGCTTTTAACTAAATACACATTTTACCTGTCCTCATGTATGCCTGTGCGCACATCTCTGACAGCTGCATACCCACATGGTACACGTGCATACTTCTGCAGACTTCTTAGAACATTACGCCCCACTTCCAGATAGTATGGGTCACCTGTTGCCCGATAAAGGAAATAAGTGGATTCCAGAAACTCTGGTCGAAGCGGATGCTGTCCCCAGTGAACCTATAAGAAAATTAAATTTTATGTGGAGTTTGCCAAAAGCCAGACAAGTCAAAATATACAGTGACCATCAATTGCTTTTCACCTGGTCTCTTTCATTTCACTTTTAAACATAATAAGTTTAAAACAAAATTTTCATGGAAAAATGGTTGATCCAGCAAGTAAAATCTCAGTGCGGACATACTCATACACATACTTTCAGCAACCTCTCTGCAATAGGAACCAAGACAGATGAAGTTCTGAGTGTTAGCAGGAGCACAGCTATGACCAGGATTACAGAAATAATCTCATGTGCTCTTCACTGACACACACCTGTCTTGCACACACAATAGAACTCTGACATAATCAATACAACATACAACAAGAAGTCTGTCACCAGACTGGGTGGTTTAGAAGTAATGCTCTGGGCTTGCATTCAGTAGGCACCTGGTTTGAATCTTGGGTGGGACATCAGCTATCTTGACTGAGGTTTCTGAGGTTTCCCAAAGTTCCCCCAGGCAAATGCTTAATCAGGCCACAAATGCTTTCCAATTTATCAGTCATCCTATCATCTGACACTATACAGTCTTGATACTGAAATCATTAAATAACTTATTCAGTTTAACAAGCAATTGCTTATGCACTGTCAACTACAGACAGATCCTCCCTGCTGCCACAGAGCTTCACGTGAACCTGGTCTGCTGCTGGCCATTGTGCCTTGATCTGATAATTTTGCAAAACATCAACACAAGGTGACCAAACCAACTGGCTGAAAGCAATGCTTGGGTGTTGTATCTGAGGGATGTCCTGCACAACTAGTGGCTCCTCAAGAAGGACTCAACTCCATGGAGTTTGCTAGTCACTTCAGTTTGAATCACAGTTGGGACACCAGGCATCTTGACTAAGATTTACTGTGGCTTTCCTCAGTCCCTCCAGGCATATGCCAGGACAGCACCAAACCCTTTCCAATTCATCATTCAGCAACCATCCTGTCACTCAACATAATCAAGTCCAGTGACAGTACCATGCAACAACTCCCCATCCAAATCAACAGAAGATATGAAACTGCATCGAATCACAGGTGTCAAGTAACATCAAACAGTACATTTTCCTTATGTCAAGCACCACACAATAGAAAGTATGGGGGGGGGGGTGTTATTCTCGCCTAATTTTGTCACTAGTCGGAGGTGAGCGGTTGAATACCAACAAGGTGTTCTTAACAAGCTTATCTAAATAAACTGCCATTTTTTCTTTGCTATTCTCTTGATTTTACCTGCAAAAAGGGTTAATGTCTCTCCAGCTTGAATTCTTTGAGCAGGCATAAAAAATTCTAATGTTCAGATAAGTATAACACAAGCATATTCAAGACTAGCACAAAGACAAAAATGACAAATCTGAAGTGAGTACATTTGGGGTTGGTCCAATAAATCTCAAGAAGGTCCAGTGGACAAAGTTTGCTATGAATATATCTGGGACTGGTCCTGACTTCGTGCTGCAATGCTTTACTCTGAAGGAATGAGCACCAGCAACCAACTGAACAGGAGACTAACAGCACTCTTGATCATACCTGGAAGTCAGTAGTGAAGGCCTCTGGAATGAAGGTGTGACGCTGCATCACCTGGTACAACATTTCATGTGTCTCCACTGCAGGCTTGATGTCCCCTTTCAACACCTGCAGCATGTCAACATTCCCTTCTATATCAATAAAACCTACACCTTATGAAGAAAGGCACTGCCTTGTAAATCATATCACTAACTCTAAACTTCAGTCACTTCAATTAACACCACAGCGTCCAGAATGTCATTATTTTTATTTGCTGGCCTCCAGGTATAAAATTAACTTTTTAAACCACAGTGGTAACTATATGTATCACCTACTTTAACATTAAGAAACTCTGTATTTTGTTCAAGCAGTGTACTGATTTGTTTCATATGATTCTCAGAATAAACAGCTACTATTAACCTAAACACAAATAACCACTTGGTCTTTGTAATGGAGATAAATTGCATTTTCTGCGATGTAGGAACCCAATTCCTAGACAGTATTTAAATGAATGAAAAGACACAGAAAATTAAGATAGCAAGTACATTATACTGGTACATCAAAATACTGTACAATGTCTGCAATCCATTTTAGGTGTTCACTCAATTCCATCTGAATAATGAAACTACACTTTAACAAACAAATTTTCAAACTCTGATGGAATATGTTACTAGATTCTGTGGCTATAACAACATCTGAGAACATGCACAGCAGAATAAGCAATATTTTCACCTGCAGGCCAGGCCAGAATGCAAGGAGGGCATCCATGAAGTTGCGGGAATTAGTGTGCGGACGGTGCATGTGGACATCGATCAGCATGGGGCCCTGGCTGATGTACTTCATCACAGCAGAGTAATGCTGCACATGTAACACAAGGACAACAATGCAGAGACAGAAAGCCATACCATAAGTTCACTAAAGTACTACGTGCACTGCAACATAAATGCAGCCCCAGATAGTTGCAGTCTTCTGAGATATGACGATGGGTGATGTCTACAAGGGACCCACTGTCTCACCCTGAAGAAAGAGGCAGCAGGTTGCTTAGAATGTTGGTACCTGTCTACCAATCTACATGATGTCACAGCCCTGGGCATTGAATGTGCTCAAAAAGTGAAGCAGTTGTTTCAGGGCCTTTCGGAGGATTCGGAGATCAGCAGCTGGTCACATCTATGCATAATTTTTCTGCTTACAGACTGAAACATTTATTAAAGAAAGAACGTGGAGAATGTAAGTGATACCAGGCTCCCCTCTGTTGGATGGAGCCAATGTGAAGACTGTAGGGCCCTCTGCTGACGCTCATCATCAGCAGCAGCAACACCACCCCAACTCTGAGATGCCAGACCCCATCACATGGGTGTTGCCATCTATGAAATTGTTTTTCACCCTTGCCTAAGTCAGAGAGACTAGAGAGGTCAACACAAACCCACCTGGAGGCAGATGACAAACAGCAAGACCATGCACTGAATTCCAGCTTCATCAGTATCACATAACATGAGTTCCAGATTTTAATCATGCCTCCAGATAAAATTAACAGTGAAATTCAAAGATTCAAACCACAAGAAAACTACATAATTACACAAGGGTTTAAAGAGATTCTTAGTTTCACACTAATCATTACATACTTCTGATATGAACAGGTTGAAGAGTTCCTTCTTCTAGGATGTGGCACCATGTAGATCTTGTGTGAACCGATGTTTTGGAGAAGACAGAATTCTTCATAGCACATCTCATATCCTCATATCTTACATGCAACAACTGCTGGAAAGGTTTCAACATTTTCTAGCATCTGTCTAATTCACATATACTAATACTGAAATTTGTAAATACTGCCTTCTTGCTTCCCCCGATATTTAGAACACTTCTACATGTATATAATATAATGACTTCCATAGTTCAATGTTGTGTGTTACTTCTCAAGTCACAAATGTGCAATATGAAAGCACTCATCACAAAATTCTTGAAGTTCAAGAATTGAAATAAGTTTAAAAATTTTAGTCTGAGTTGATGTTGAGATTATTTCTAGAATGTATCTCGAAAATTTGAGACTTGTTCACACACAATTAATTTTAGCGTTCATTGGCCGGACTTAGATCTCCTGCGACTGCAGCACTCAATAGCAATGGGTTTTATATTTTAAACAATGCATTGCTACGCCTGGCGAGACAGGGCATGTTCAATGCACAGACAATAGAGTAAGACCCCATCTCTACAGGCTGGCACACATATTTTAACATGGGTGTAAAGGTACTGAAAAAATGCAGCATTCAGCCAGCAGGACTGCATACATGGGACACTGCAATAACGCAAAACACCACTGGCTGGATCCCACATTTGCCATCATATTTAGGTCATTCAAAAATGATTGACACTCCCTCCATAACTCTGGAAAAGTATCAGCATCAAATACGAGCCAGTGTATGCGGGAAGACATACTGTAGTGCCACCTATGGCCATGAGATGACGTTGCTACTGTGCACAGGTCAAACAGTGCTGCGTCATTCATGGCGGTGTGCAGGTGCAGTCATGGACAGTGCTCAGACAACATGGAAGCAGACAATCACAGGCAATGGCGGACTGTGTGGTTTCTCTGGAGGGAAGGAGTGGCTCCTTCACACATTCACATGAGGTTAGCAGCCATATGTAGGGAAACAGCACCAAGTCATGCAGGGTAAGATGTTCACATCCAATGACGAGCTTCAGGCAGTTGTCCAGCAATGGCGCTGAGATACCCCCTAAGAATGGTTTGTTGTGCAAATATGGAAACTGCCAGATGGATGGCAAAGGTGCATAGACATTGGTGGGGAATACCTCTAATATAATCTGTATGTATTTTGTTCCAATAAATGGTTACTCTGAAAAAAAACATTTAGTGTCAATCATTTCTGAATGCCCCTAGTAAATATGTGATGCACAGCCAATGAAGTCTGAACATAACTCAGCATATCACCCAACACACCTTATTGAAGCGGCCAAGGTAACGTTCATCACCAAGCAGGATGTAAGCCTTCAGGCAATATTCATAGTAGGAGTCAATGCCTGCACCCACACCAGAGTCCCTTCGTACCCAGTCACCTGAATGAATGTTCAGAACAGTGCCCATCAGATCTGAGCTCCGATGTCTGATTTTCCACAGCTCATCCATGGCCCGATGAGCTTTTTCCTGTAAAGTCATGCACAACCTTTAATTTGTAAGAACTGAGGTTTTCACAGCAGTGACTATGAAGAGTGCTGTTTTCTGGGATGTGGTGTCATGTATATCTTGTGTAAATCAATGTTTTGGAGGATCATGTAGCTTTCCTCTTCAGGGTAAAAAATAATTGCAAGCAATGAACCTGCTCATGTTTGTTCCTCGCTCGCAGATTTTTCTACCATGAAGATGGAGGCGATAAGTCCCTCTGAAACGTCAGTTCACACAATATTTACATGGCACCACATCTCAGAAGACAGAACTCTTCACAGGCTCCACTGTGAGAACCTCAAATCCTATAAATAACTTCAATGATAACTTCACTAAAGAATTAAATAAAACTAGGCCATGTAAATCCTGATAATACAAATTTGTGTAAGTCACTATCTTGTTTAAGCCAGCAGATACCTGTACACCAGATTTCTGGTACTTCTGGTACTTGTGTCGTCTTCAGGGGATTCTCATTTTACCAGAAGGTAAGATTATTACTCCCAGAATTGAATTGAATTTATTTACATTCTATAAATCCTAAGCAGGTTAGTACCTTTGGATACAGAACAAGTACACGCAATTTTAGCTTAAAAATTAATATAACTTAATTTTACATCATTCTCTATTTACATTGAAGTATTCATCTAAAGAGTAGAAGGAATGAGCATGTAGATAATTCTTTAACTCTGATTTAAACTTTTTAGTATCATTGCCCAAGTTTTTAATACTTTGTGGCAGATTGTTGAACACTTTTATGCCAGTAAAGTAGACTCCTTTTTGATATACTGATAAAGTTGATGAGGGTAGGTGGAAGTTATATTTTTGTCTAGTATTCATGTTATAGACATCAGAATTTAATTT